ATCTGCATACCCTCCGGGCATGCAAGCCCCCTCCACACTTATCACATCTCGCGGGCCATGATGGTTGTATACAGGCGGGTGAGATGCTGGTCTCGGTAAACATGCGATCAGCGTTACAGCCCCTTGAATTGGGATACTTCTCCGCCGACGGCTCAAGGTACGAACCATGGAACGCGGCGCGGATGTTTGTGCTTGGACCAGGGGTTATCGGTATCAGATAGACTGACTACCAACTGACTGCGGTTCCGGTTCTCTTGCAGGAGCGGCTGCCCAAATGGACATTGCGCTCAATAAGCGGGTCGCAAAAAGTTAGTTGGTGGCTGTTTTTCAGAGCAATTCTCCGGGCCGTCCTACAATCGCATCGAGAGTAACCCATTGGACGCGCCAGTAGGGTCCCCGGTCTCGGATCGTTTGTTTGCTAGTCTCACAGCTGTTTTCGGGAGGCGTCGAGGACCGCGGGGGCGGGGAACTAAGCATCATTGCAATCACATTTTGTGCGTTCTATTTTGAGGAAGCCCCCACGAGACTGCTTATCCAAATGGTGGTGGGGAAAAAAAAGACTTGGTGAATATCAGGATACTGATTCCAGTGGACCTGGTAGGGCAGTCAACCATAGTCTAACAGCATCACAGTGTCCGGGCAGGGATTGGCAGTAGCCAATCAGTTCTTCAATCTCCTGTTCACGATAAGATGTAGGATGGTCTCGACTCGTCATTCGCCACATCTCAGCGGATCCAGTGAATCGCAACCGCGCGGTGATATTTGCAGGAGGCTTGGCAATTTGCTAAATGTGAAGTCAAGTCGATGATAGTTATTATCTGACCTTTCATAAGCCTATTTGAGAAACAATTCCTTAAGTGATCAAGAGCTAATCAGGTTCCGTCTTGAATGTCTCACTTCAGGTCTATTCGGCTTGGACTTGTCGAAGCTTTCCGAAACAAGACAACAAAGTCGCCTCTACGCGAACGCGAGATCTTGGTCAATGGCTCTTATGTCAACAAATTGGCCGGTAACGAATGGCATCGTGCAGACCGACACAATGAAAGTGGCCTTGCTTATTGAACGGAATGATAACAAGAACCATAAATCAGGTTTTCGTGCTTCGCAATATATATTTCAACAGATACAGTCTGTATCGACCAACAGAATTTCTTGGCGACATATATGCACGATTTATGTACATGAACTATCAAGTCCGCGTTGAAATATCCTACATACATTGCATTCTCTGAAGCTGGGTTTGCCACATGTACCTCCAGTCGCATGCTGTGCGACGTCGTGGGCTCTGAAGGTACAATTTAGGCGCATATGCCAGGTCCACAATCCAGCACGGTACCTGCATTTGCTGCAAGATCCGGCCCTTTTCTAAATCATCTGAATAGATCAAGTCGTGTGAGCGCGTGAGACCTCGTGCATACTCGGTCTGCGTGAATCTTCACTGTGGCTACCTGAAATTCTTGACTCGGTGAGTCTTCACCGATTGTGTTATTCGACATCGGTTACACGACTCTTCTAGCTCCCCAACAATCTAATAGACATAGGTAAACTTCCGTCATGTTCTGCAATAAAAAAAAAAATGCATTACAATAGTCTGTTGTATTGTCATTGACTTTGGGGGAAAGGATATACTGAAATGATGTCATTCTAGGTGTGCGAATACAATACATAGTGCCTGTCGCTACTAACGTATATGATCATGAACTTTGTTTAGATACAGAGACACAGACTGTAAACAGCACCAATCGCAGATCAAATATTGGTTAACGGAAGTCGGACCCATGGATCGAGAGAGCGAGTCGCGGGAGGGATAGTTGGGCCGTGTCAAGACATCACATCATTCTAACATGAGGGCGAGAGGATCGCCCGGTTCATCCCTCGTGCCTGAAATGCCTCCACAAATTTCAGAGATTGCTATAGACCGTAAATAGCAGACCCAAAGGCCGGGTACCTGGAGCGGTAGAGGCTATCATACAGTAAAATCGTCCAAGGTACCCATGTATATACAGTATTATATGTTACAGTATTATATGTTAGCAATACGATGTAAATAATACGTATCTCGCTAGAAAAATTATCTCTTTTATTTCGCTCCGGCATATGAATACCCTCCGATGGGGCCATTGCCTCCAAAAACCCAAAGAAAAGGACCTCTAAACCTAGTGTGCGGTCTTGCTCCACAGCAAACTCCACCAAGCTCCTCAACGGTACTTTCGAAAAGGCAATGATCTAAGCATCCGGGCAGGCATCCGCGAGCATAGTCGAGGAACAAGCCACTGCGGCATGCGCATTGGTCCAGAAATCCCCGCATAGCGGTTCGGCCGGCTTCGAAGGAATGACTCTGCATTAGCTCCTATCCCAAAACCCATGTCAACGGAAGCCACTATCTGGAGCCGCCCTCAAATAGGTCGTGACCACGGTATACGGGTGTATAACTCCGGGGATTCTCGAGGAAATCCCCAGTTCCGCGGGCACGACGCTGGAACCCGATCCGGGGTCCGGCGTCGCGCATGTGGAGATTAATTGAGGGGGTTTTTTAAGTTAAGATCTCAAACACGTAATTATCGAAGCAGGAACACGCCGGCGGTCCCCAGCCTCAAAATTGGATCGGCGGTGGTTCGAGGCGGAAGGCCTTCCAGAGGAACAAAGAAACTCGTGGTGGAGGCCATGTATTCCCTGTCAGGGAAGTGGATATGCGGCCATCGTAGCTCACGCCCTGTATATCTTGAGAAAAATAATAATAATTTACTCCGTACTCCATACGTACTCGCGAATGGAGGGTGTCCGGCGTGGGTTAGGCTTATTTCTTGACATTCAATAGTCCAACGTCCATCGACTGCCGAGAGAGGGGTTTTCCCGTTGGCGCAGTCTAACAGGTCCAGCCCTTCGACTTAAAAAAAAGAGGCCGACCCGCGGCTTGTCTGGTCAAGCACGTGTTCGCCGGCGTATGCGGACCCAGGCCTTGCCCCTGTTCGCCGGTTATCTAGGTGATGGACGTGTGGGTAGGCTAAGCCTCGTCAGCCTATCGGGAACTACAGAAGGTACAACGATCGTCGAATAGTTTCGGCGACTTGTGGAAACTAGAACATGTGGCTCAGGAGTACTTTGGAGAGAGCTCCCCAAGGAGGAAGTACTCCTCTGGCTAGATGCCATCATAACAGTACACGGTACCGGTAGAAAGGAAAAACATAGTTTACCATTGCCCTGGGCGCGCGAGCGATCATGAAGATCATGTTCTGTCTTTGCCCTCTCCCGGTTGGTATAGGAATCAATAGTTTCAACTTCCCTCTTGCTTTGTCTCCACAATATCCGCGCCACGTTCCTGGGTCGCCGTCGATAACAAGGCACGAGGGGGATCGCCGCCCGTGTCCCATGGTTTTGCTTTTCTTCATCACGACGACGTGGCGGATAGCTCGCATCGCGTTGGCTGCGCTCAGCCGTCATAAGTGATAGACCATGGATCAGCATCTTCCATGGCTTCTGGACCAGCGGAAAGTATAATTGACACAAGGGAAAAGTTTTGGGGCGAGGGTTAAATTCAGGGGCTGAAAGCCAGACAGAAAGTACGAAAACCACGCGGGTACGGTATCTTTGGTATTACCGTCATGTTGTAAAGAAGGGAATTAACAGCCTATCTTCGTTTGCCTAACGACTCAATTCTGAGACGACTTCACTATATACTAACTATGCAAAGAGGATCCGGATCACGAATGTTATCCTTGCCGAAATTGCCACTGCTTCCGGGGCAACAATTACGTACGGATCCGCCGAGGTGCTCTATACATAGCATAGTGTCTACGCGTCCGTGGCAATTTTCTGCTGCCACTGGCCCAGACTGTGTGGGGTGAGGCTGCGCCAACTGAGAACGCCTTGCTCCGGGGTTTGTCCAGTGCCCTTCCTCTTTGGGGTGTGTTTTTCTACCGGGCTTCCCTCGGTCTAAAGTTAACTGCTAGATTGAGATGGTTGTTCGAGCAACGAGCGCCGCTTACCCGGATATGGACGCAGTGGACTCATGAACCCATGAGTTCGCACTGGTGGGTCACTACATCGGCGATCGCAGGAGTGGGTTTGTAGTTATCTGTGATTTTTCTTATGGCGGATGCAGTTTTACTCCACCTTTCACTTTGACTGGTCCGTTTGTTTTCATCTCGTCCGACGACGAAAATGCCCGGGAGATAAGATCCTGGAGAGATCTGAGTTTGTGCAAGTCCAACCCAGGGACAAAAAAACTCCAGACAAGTCTCTGAAAAGAGTTCGAACGACCTGATCGTGTGCTTGGGGTGTTGGATTCAAGCGCCGTCACTCGTGGGCTTCGCCACTGCCCGGAGGACCCGAATTCCTCGATGGGGATTTTCTCCGAGAGATCAGCAGTGAAAGGACCAGCCGCAGTGCATGCATGTGTGATTTGTGATGAGAAGTCCAGATCGAACTGCTGGTAGCCAATCTGCGCCCCTAGAGGGGAAGGGTCTTCCCGGCGCGAAGTAGAGTTCATCACCCTTGTTCCTGCAGCATACATCAACACTTCCCGTGCGTGTTCCGCGGATGTTCACCGAATACGGTTCTGACGCTCCTATCAGTATATCAAATATTGCAGAGGGTTCAGAACTCTAATGATGTAGGCGGGAAGGGCGTTCCCGTCCTCGTGCCGCGATGAATTAATTAATTAACAGTGGATCTCAAACTCCAGCCAGTGAAACCGCCCCCAAGGTATCGCGGGAGAAATTGGCTTTAGTTACTTTTCAAAGGATGTGGAACCTGTGGCCCAGGTCCCACGTTGCCGGTGCCGTCTAAGGTAGAAGACGAGCAATGATGGGCGTCGTGGAAAGTCCAGAATCCAGACTATCGTACGCCGGCTGATCCCATCGGAAGGTGTGGATTCGCCGGAGCCATCCTTCGTTTGGAAACGATCGGGAATTTCTGTTCAGTTACGGGGCCTTTTCATCCTATCTTGCCAATCGCAGCTTTGGTTGCTGTGTTATTTTTTTTGATTGGACCGCTGGATCTTAAACCCCCCGATTAGGAAGGTCAGATTTGACTCGGTCCTTGGATCCCAGGAGATCCGGCCCGTTCCCCGCTACGTTCCGAATTCCCAGGGCGCGCACGAGGACGCACGGTGCAATTGGGAAATGAGCATGGCCCGTGCTGGTTTGAATGTGGTCTCGTTCCCAGCCACGCTGTCGGAGGTCGAACTGGCATGTCGTCGTTTGTGGTAGTTTTCACTTCATGAAATGCTCTGTTTGAGGGACGAGGGCCGCAGATAACATGTAGTTATGACCTACTAGGGTGATTGTAGTTTCAAAGTAGCTCTAGATTCGGGTTTTCGCCTGGCTAATTCGGTATATGGAGTGCTCTTGGGTACAAGGAAGGAAACTACATTCTGCTCTCTACTTTATGATGGAGAATAGTATATTTCTTTACTTCTTGTCGATTTATACAGCACTTATAGAGAGAAATCAAAGAAATCATTGTATGTTGCGACATGCAGCTGCCGGTAGCTCGCAATATATATCTCCCACCAATATTGGATGGACAACATCGGGATATAGCAAATAATATTAACCATTAAATTAACTGATCTATCTAGCTATCTATGTCTTTTCCTTAATATAAAATCCTGGTAATTGTGACCAGGCTTCTGTTGATCGCAGAATAATATTGAAGACGCTGTGCTCTATCTATACTGGTCAACGAATTCCGAGCTTATACTCAGACTTGACAGATATTCGCGGCCTTGAAACCATAACATAGTATGGTAACTCAGACATGACTATTCTATGATAGGGTGAGGTGAATCTGGCAAAGTGGTAATTCGCAGGGTCGCGCTTCCCATCCCTTGCTTCGAGCGCGATGCGCACGACCGCGACTGGACACCGGACCCTATCAACTCCGCAAGCAGATGATGGGTATGAAACCAAAAGTCCTTGCCAGTTCTTGATAAATCAGACAAGTGGACGAACTATGTGCCCCGTTGGACCGGAGAACCTGATTACATTCTAGAAGCTAAGACTAGGGAACGTATACATACTACCTACCTCGGATTCCAGAACGTCGCGTCCTGGGAATGCCTCCCCGAGTCACAAGGAGATTGTCACGTCAAACCTTCATTCCAATCTACTTACTGTACCTTGACCCCTCCAAGGACCACCCCGCCACTGACTACACTGCCAGCCTCCTTGCGGCAGGAAATATACCTTTTTTATAGAAATACCTCCCTGTCCGTAAACTCAGCAGCAGCTCTCGTCTCTGTTCCCCGGTACATACAGCCCTTGCCAATCCAATCCCAACCTACGAGACCCAGACACATAGACACAAGCTCAAAATGAAGCTTACTACAATCATCGCAGCAATCTCCGTCTCCACGCTCGCAGCGGCAGCGCCCATTCCCGCTGCCTACAGGCGCGGTCTCTTGCCTTCGCCCGCTGGGGCTTTGAACATTCTGTTGCCTAATTCGGGGATCCCGAAGCTCATGGGGAAGTTGGATAAAAGTGCTGGAATTTGTATGTGATGGATTCGAGAAGCATCCGTGAGCGGTGATTGACTTCGATTATAGAAACAGATTGTTCGCAAAACCGGCTACCGGCCTCTTGGCAGGAGTAAGCAGAGGGAAAGAGCTGGCCTTTTGGGTGAAGAGTATCAGGCATTTTTCATTGAGATGCAGCGAAGCTGTAGGATCCCGGAGTTCTTGGCGTACATGAGAGAATTGACACATATACTTACGCCATAAAAGCGAACAAATACCTGTTCCAAATGTAAAATTTGCGAAACACACAAATAGACGGCTCATAAATACGCGCCGGTGTCCCAAAAGAAATCCAAGCCGTCATCAATTAGAACATCCCCTCCATATCCAGATCCAGGAACTCAGGATTGCCAACGGCCATGTCCGCGGCATTGAGTACATCATCAATAGCATCCATGCCTGCACCACCACCGTCAAGCCCCATATCCTGCCCACCACCGACTCCGCTTTCCATGCCAACGCCGCTTTCCATGCCGACGGCAGCAGCAGCAGCAGCCGCGGCCGCTTTGTCCAGCATCTGATTGAGATTGTCCGGATCTTCATCGCCAACAGCATTGTCTCCCACACCGGCAGCAGACGGCTCGAGGTCCATGCGATCATGTCCTTCGACGCCGATGTGCATGTTATTAATGATATTGCTTACGTCAATATTTGAGACCTGGGACGGAGGTGCCATGAGAACATTGACGCGGCGCCAGAGACGCACGATCATCTCTGCTCGTAGGGGGTCCTTTTCAGAGACCTTGGGCACGTTGTCGTGCTGCAGGACGAGGGCGTCTCTGAGCGTCAGGATCGGACACCGAGGGAGGGATTCTTTCGTTGAGTCAACAGGATGGTAACTGTTTTGGTCTACAGCAAAAGACTCCGCCATAGGCGCGCAGATCATCGTAGCGGCGATGTCGAGTGCCAGATCACCGCTGCCTGCTTGGGATTGCTGCTTCAGTTCGTCCAAGATGGCGCCGAGTACGCGCGTGGACCCTAGCATGCGAACGCCGGCTACAAGTTGGCGGTGTGTATAGGAATGGGGCGCCATGTTGATGTCCGGACTAGCGCTCCAAAGGACGAGAGACTGTAAGGTAGCGCGGATGCTACCTACCAGACCGCCGGCGGTATGCCCGGTCCAGCTATCGAGCTCCGAGCGGTGGCAGCTGCCCGTGCGTTGAAAAGAGAGATAAGGTTCAAGGGCATCTAGGATCGGTTTGATGTCAGAGCGAGAGGTGTGTCTGGTTCGGACGTCCTTGAGTTGTTCTTCGAGTAGGCGCCCGGTGATGTTCAGAACAGTCCGATGGATAGCCTGGGCCTCTCCGGAGATGGAACTGGGCTTCACCAGGGAGTGAAGTGTCTTCAGTGCGATCGTCGGATCTGTTTCCGTCTCCCAAATGTGATTTCCCAGCCATGTCAAGGCAAATACCAGAGACGGTAGAAGGAAAGGTTCAAGCAGATCTAAGGAGCGTTTAGCGAGGGCAACATGTCGGGACGAGCGACTCAAATACATTCGAATCCACCTTTCAATGTCTCAAAATCCAACTTCCCTGACTCGCAAGCACCAAGGCTTTGGTCAAATAGAGTCGCCACAAGCACGTAAAATTCTTGCGGACTGCAGCTCGACATGGTTTCTTCGCTGATGCCCTCCGCAATAAACAACGCAGCGATCCATGCCCCGAGATCTTTGTTCTGCTTGTCGGTCAGCTCAGCCAGCTTTTGGCTATAAGATCCTCCATCCAGGAGTTTCAGCAAAAATGACCCATTTCCTGAGACCCCGATATCAGAAGCGCTCATATCATAGCGGAACTTGAAAGTGAGGACCAGCAACAGGATGCTGCCGAATTCATCATAAACAGGCTGGTTTTCACTCTGGTCCTCATCCCAGTGCCACGAATCTAGCAGAGTGCAGAGGGGTTGCAAAAATTGCTTCGCTGTCCGGAAGAGAAGAATAACGTCCAAAGCTTGCGGACGACGCGAGAGAGCATTGCAAATGCTTTTGAGTGTCACTGTCTCTTTCTGGTTGCAAAGGTTATACATAACCTATCATAGTTTTAGTCCATATTTCCGTGGAAGGCATTGCGAATAGCTTTCCCTACCTCGGTGATTGCTCCGACTATGGCGCCTGCGTTGCCCTCCATCGACTCGAGTTCACCGATCAATTGATCGGCACGTTCAAAGTTGGTGTTTATTTGAGCCACCAGCTCGTCCTTTATATACGGTCCACCGACAGGCAACGTCTGCATGGGGTTCTCTCCCAGCAGTCGCTCAATGCTGGACTCGGGGATAAGCCGGTGCGATGCGCAAGCAAATAAGAATTCCTGGCGAGCATCGGACAAAACGCTACTTCCCTGCATAGAGAACATTTGCGAGAAAGAGGGAAATGCATTCGGGTCGAGCCGGCTTAATGCTTGACTGATACACAGTTCCATGGGAATTGGCACCATGGATGCTGCCGACATGGCGGCGAAGAAGGCAGGAAGTTTGTTCACCAGGAAAGCTCGAAACAAGAACATGGTCCGACTGGATTCGTTTCGATATACGCCGTTGGATAGAACGTCGAAGGCTGCGGTAATTATTTCCTCAATGAGAACTTCGTAGTGTCCCTGGTACACAGTCAGACCCCGCTGCACAAAGACAACATAATCACCCATGGCAAACTCACCCCGTATCGGTTCGTGAGGTAGTTGATCAACATCGAGTCATCAGCCAGCGGTCGGCCCACAAGCTACAGAGGAGTCAGCATTGATATCGCGGCAAATGCAGTAAAAATAGTCTTACCATGGCGTTGATATATACATAGAGACCAGCTCGAGCATTTATAACATGGCCATCCATGACAGATGACTCAAACTGCAGGGCATTCACATTCATCTCATCGATCGCCGGATGTTCCAATGGTTTAGAGGGTTGATCGCCGAAAAGATTGAAGTCCTTCTGCAATGCGTCCAGCCGCTGCCGAAGAGGCAAAGAGACGTCCACACAAAGGGGCAGGTAGGCGGAAAGAGCTTGGCCCAGTTTGGTTTTCAGGACTACGGCAAACATATCAGCAGAGTTCATGGCATAATTCGATAATATGAGGAGTTAACCAACCTTGCTGATAATCGCTTGAAAGAGCCTCCAGGCCCTTCCCCGTGCCAGACAGAGCAGCAAGCAGAATGCCGAGGGACTCGAATAATGACACCGCATCGGGGGAGCCCATCATGCCACCGGCCTGCTGAGAGACTTCTAGATTGGTGTTGTGCCAGGAAACAACGGCCATAATCCAGTCCACAGTTGCAGAGTAGATTTCCGCGACTTCGGCGATGGTTTTGGGGACGTTCCCCGTGGAGATGGAGAGCATGACATCCTGGATAATTTTGATATCCGTCATGAGCGTGGACGCCTTTCGCTTTCGCTTCGGCGGAGCATCAGAGCCCAAATCAAGAATCGAGGAATGCTTCAAAAGACACGTCAACGCTGTCGATGGCTTGGCGTAGCCAATCTTGCAGAGAGCGTCCACGTAAAGTGGGAGTAAGGGGTCCCAGGCGATGGTGGTCGTAGTCCGACACTCTAACAGAAGATTGAGAAGCTCTTCTTCGTCAACTGGGGAGCGTGAGAGCATCAGTTTCGACAGGTCTTTGAACTCGTCTACATCTATTCGATGCGCCAAACATTGGTGGAGGAAGGCCCTCCACTGTTCGGAGGAGGCCATCTTTGGCTGCATTGCCGGGCTCGCAGCGTATAGCAGACTTCGCAGTCTGGTGTATATAGCTCAATTCATGATCTGATGCCGGGCTCAATTGATCCGTGATATTTTGATGGGAAGGAAGGAGGATTGCTTCATCGGGCCAAAGCGGTGACCTTTACACGTGACTGAAACCAAGGCGGTGTCATTCTGCCTGGTCTACGACTTGATCTTTCTTTGACCTTCAATTCTACTCATGCAAAACACAATTTTTCTTTAAGAATCATTTAATTTCATTATCATCATGACTATTCCAAAAACAGCAGTGCCAAGTGGGAATATCATCAAATGCAACAAGGGAATCCAGCGCCTCTATATCCGAAACCGCTCAACAATAACAAAGGAAATGCAAAATGAAATGAACCAGTTTACCACCAGTCACCGTGGTCCTTCATGGCCTCGACGACCTTGGTGAAACCGGCAATGTTGCTACCGGCAACCAGCGAAGGCAGGACACCCTCCTTGGGAGTGACATACTCCTTGGCGGTGTGGAGACCGTTCTCGAAGCAGTCCTTCATAATGGCCTTGAGGCGGGAGTCGACCTCCTCGGTGGTCCAGTTGACCCGAGCAGAGTTCTGGGCCATCTCAAGACCGGAGACGGCGACACCACCGGCGTTGGCGGCCTTGCCGGGGGCGTACCAGATGGCGGCAGCGCCGGGGTTGGCCTCGCGGTGAGCCTCGAAGACATCGATGGCGTCCTGGGTGGAACCCATGTTGGAGCCCTCGGCGAGGAACTTGCAGCCGGCGGCGATCAGGGCCTTGGCCTCGTCACCCGAGACCTCGTTCTGGGTCGCGGAGGGAAGGGCAACATCGATGCGGCCGACGATGTTGGTCCAGGGGCGGGCGCCGGGGATGTACTTGAACTTGGAGGCGAAAGCGGCCTCGTTGACGAGCTCGGAGATCTGCTTGCGATCGACCTTGATGGCGGCGATGGTGTTGATCTCCTCGGGAGTGAAGCTGCCCTCCTCGCCCTTGAGGACCAGGCAGCCCTGGCTGTCGGATAGGGAGATAACGGAGCCACCGAGCTCGATGACCTTGAGGGCGGCGTACTGGGCAACGTTGCCGGAGCCGGAGATGGCGACGCGCTTGCCCTTGAAGGACTCCTTACCGCCGGAGACGTGCTGGATCATGTGATCGACGTAGTAGACAACACCGTAGCCGGTGGCCTCGGGGCGGATCAAGCTACCACCCCAGCTGCCGCCCTTTCCAGTGAGAACACCCTGCCACTGGTTGCGGATCTTCTTGTACTGGCCGAACATGAAGCCGACCTCGCGGCCGGTCACACCGATGTCACCGGCGGGGACGTCAGTGTCGGCGCCAATGTGCTTGCAGAGCTCGGTCATGAACGAGACACAGAAACGGCGGATCTCGTTGTCCGACTTGCCCTTGGGGTCGAAGTCCGAACCGCCCTTGCCGCCACCCATGTTCAGGCCCGTCAGGGCATTCTTGAAGATCTGCTCGAAGCCGAGGAACTTCAGGATGGAAAGGTTCACCGAGGGGTGGAACCGGAGACCACCCTTGTAGGGACCAAGGGCGGAGTTGAACTGCACGCGGTAACCGCGGTTGATTTGGATCTACCGTGAAGATTAACGCAATGTTTTAGGTGGCGGAATAAAAAAATAGAGCATACCTGGTTCTTGTCATCCTCCCAGACGACACGGAACTGAACCACGCGCTCGGGGACAGAAACGACCTGCAGAGCCTTGCGGTACTCAGGGTACTTCTGGAAAAGAGTGGAGTTTTCCAGAGTGGAAGCAAGTTCTGTTTCGGGTGATTAGCTGAGCCACTTCCCGAGAGCCACATGCCGAGAATGCCGATGGAAAAAAGATCAAGTCGGGCAAGGGAACACAAGACACGACAAGAACGACAAGGAACAAATTTGCTTACCCTTGTAGGCTTGCTCGAACTCCGGCTCGTGGGGAAGATTCTGCATCATTGTGGTTTTGTTGTAGGATTGATTCAATTTACTCTGCTGCTCTGTAGTTGGAGAAGGGATGATCGGCACTTCCAAAGTATGCAAGAAAAATTAAGGTAGTGTATGGGAGGAAGCAGAGATAATTAATGAAGGAAAGGAAGAAAAGATCAAAAGGAAAAGTGATCGGATGGGGATTATATACAGTCTGGAGGGGTGGAGAGTAGGATTGCCGGAGTCGGACGAGGGACTCCGGGAGCGACGCCGGGGAAGGGGAGGACTACTACTACAACGGGAGGCCTGGTGCTTCGGAGTAGACGAACGGATAGGTAGTACAGGGCAAAATGACAGCGCGATCTACTGGGCACAGCATGGAACCCATGGCTTTCCGTGGGAAGTACGTCCGAAGTTCGGGGCTGGCGGGACTAATGTTAGCTTATCCTCTCAGGTCACAGATATTGTCCTTATCAGTCCCGCCACCCTACTTCTGTTTCCGGTCAACCTTCATCCAATGATCCCACTATGATTGCCGGGCGGGCGCTGAGGATCTCTGCCCCTTCCTTCCGGCTCAATTTCGTGTCAATTTCGTGGTTTTCGTGGGTTGGGGTGCCCTTTCCCATCGGATCGGTGCTCTCCGACACAGTACTAAGGTGGCTAGTGACATAATGTAACTTCTAGAGGAAACCTCTAAGGCGGTTGGTACTGCTATGAACGTGGATGGCACAGTGCTATTAATTTGAGCTGACAATAGTAGTAGTGTAGTATGTCATAGCGACACACGAGACACGAGAGGTCGTCACCGATGCAGGCGTTCTTTAATTTTTCTTCGGCACTTCTGATCGGGAGCCGCCACTTGTGCACGTGATCACCTTATCTGATGGTCCCCGATTTTATTATTCAAACTGCTTATCCTTGCTTTGCTAACGGGCAATTACAAAATATCAAGTCCCGCTTACACCGCTCCTCTGACAGGAAAACAGGGCAGATACATTGTGGATGGTGGGGGAAGGATTTGACTCATTTTATTGTGCAAAACTTGACTAAGAGGTTAGATATGACATTCAACACTGACTGTCTGGTGGCGGCACCATGCAGGGGTGAGGTCTGACAGTGCATGAATTGTCTTCAAGCCATACCAAGTCAGGCCAAGAGCAAGCATTTAACATTATCTGATCCGACTAGACCGATTTTTTTTAAAAAGTGATGTCGTGCTAGCGTCTGCGTGACCAATGCATTAATACGTCTGGGCTGTATTAGCATTGGTGGCACCTGTGTCCGACGAATCGCCGGGGTTGGACCAGCGTCAAGTGATAAGATCCTGTTTTGTCGTTGACTGGCTATCAACCGAAGAAGAAGGATGACCTAGGACATTGAGTAAATTGTAGTTTCGTCTCCGTGTAGAGAACAATTTTGTTGTTTGATACCCATACTGGTGCTAAGTTATCTCTAATGCTCTCATAGTATGAGAGTTGCATACCGATATTTGATTCTTACGGGGAGAACCAGCTAGTGTAATTAGATAACTTTATAGGATAGGTGAGACCTCCACAAGAACCACTTGCCTCTTTCATGTGCAACCCAGAGATCGGTCCTGGGCTATATGGGGTGTGTGGAACCACTATAGAGCCCCATGGTTCTAGAAGGCTTAGAACATAGATCTTAGGTGACCAGATGCCCGGTTCAGATTAGCTTCGCTGTACTATAACTGAATCTCTATACTTAGTAACTGTTTATTTGTGTGGAGAACTGATTTTTCATACTGATCAAACCCCGATATAACGATATGGAAGCGTTTCTGCATGATGTGTTGCAAGTTTTCTTTTGTCTTTGCTAATCTTCCATCTGATAATACTGCCCCAGATCAATAGTAGAAAATGATATTTGGGAGTAGGGGACTGTTTTTATATCTACCGAGCACGACATAACTATATGTACAACAGTGGTAAAAAAAGCACATCTAAAAGTTTGTATCTCAGTTAAATATGTAATTTCGCCTGAACATGGGGATATGGGATAGAGTCTATATGGCGAGTGCTGATTTCTGCAGGGGACTTGATATACCTCCAACCTTTGTCAGTATTGCTGATAAGTAAAAAGTAGCTCACCTTGCACTGACCATAGATCAGTCATACTTGGAATCGATCAGGAAAGCACTACATAGAGGTATACATGAAGAAACACGATATAATGCGAATTGATTTTCTTCTATGTATTATTTCTCATTAGAATCATATTCTCCCCTCGAACTCCGAAGTATCACAATAAGCGGTTATATCTTTGTTCGGTTTCTTCGGTTTTAGAATCAGGTTTGCATAAAACTTCCTAGAAATGTGTAGAATATGGAACGAACGGAGCACGAGTATATATTGTCGTCGAGATACAAGAAACTGGATATTGCTAACCCAGCGATCATATTCTGAACTGATTGGTATCTACATACACAGCTAATTACAACATGCTCTGTAGATCTGCTTCGATCAAGTTCCGGCTTTGATTGTGTTTCAACCGCTGGTCCGATTGATCAGTGTTCAAGCCTCAACCTACGACGCGACAGCTGCCAATGTAACTCAATAATGAAACCAAAATTCACTTGGAGTCCAGCTTCAAGCTCTATAAAAATCGACAATCAAGCCACAGTGGCTGGTGTTGCGATCGCATGCGCCAATTGTGGGATTCGGCGGTCTCCGCTGCGAACGCGTCCCGCATAGAGGAAGGTTAATACAAGCAACCTCATTTGCTGTCCGTTTCCCTATCAGTCGGGGCAACAAGGGTCAATCTACGCCATGAATAAATTGACACATTGCTTTACTCGAGATATTCAGGATCTTTTCACGGCCGAGACGTTTGTTGTCGGGACGTGGCGTCAGGGGCGGCCGGGGAAGTGAGGTAGGACCCTTACGTGTTCCGATCGGGACGGACCTTCTGCAGATTAGGTTGTTAGAAAGCTGCAGACATGTGATGATGATAATGACGAAGCTGTTGTTCAGCCAGCCATTGTTCTTTTCTCTACTCTAGCTAGCTAGTGCACTAGATAGATCACACCTGGGGAGAGCTCTCGGGTAGGGGCTGCCGATCCATGATTTGGAATCATCGTCGGGCCCACTGTCTATTATTCTTATTATTCCCCAGAGTACACGTGCTGCAGTTAGGGACTTCATTATTGAAGTTACTTTTTCCTTACTGTGTCAGAAGTCATCTGGACATGTGCCGACCGTGATGGCTTCTGCACGGCATGGCACTAAGATGCAGAACTAGGGGACAATGTAGCGCCTGTCCGCCTTACTTCTGCAGCAAGCGGCAACAACACGCGATGCACAGATAGTTGGCTGCCTATCTAGTGTTCGGCGTAATATCTAAATCCGAGGTCTGCGCCGCTGCAAGCGCCTCATTTTGGCCTGATCGCTTAAAAGCTTTGGCCCGCCGATGACATTGTGCTACCATATCATCGGTGCGACTAGTCTGCCTAGGAAACTATGTGTAGAACACGGGCAGAACCTAACTATCGGTGAAGGAGCCGATCGAGCCCGTCTATGCATTTGGCCTCACCTAAGACCGTCCAAATTTGATAGTCCGGTATAACACAGGAGGACTATTGTAAACCCGCCCTCAATTCTCGAGTGTGAACTAGTTTGCTATAATATAAATCCAAGGGCGACAATTATTGGAATAACTCCGGGCAGATAGCGGAATCCCCACCCCTTAAAGACTTACCAATTCGAGCATTAGTGGCCCAGGATTGGTGCTTTCAGTGACCATGCCTACTTTAGGCATGGAGCTGGGCGGTTCCGGCGCCGAAGGACGGGTCTAATGCCCCCGAAGGTCCGTGGTGCGTGTCCAGGAACACGATCCGCGCCGATTTCCCACACGGGAGCGCAACTGGAGAGCAAGATGCAGGAAATCGCAAATTGAATCAATTGTGTGGAAAGCGCACCGGTAGGTCGCCCATCACCAGCGGCTGACTATGGGATCTGTGCCAGGGGCCGCAGGTCATTTGACTACAGAGTGCAGTTTCCTGGAAATGCGAGTTTGAGATATATGACACGCCGTAAACACAGACGAATCCCGTCTGCCTGGCATGTGGATCTGCACGGTACCTGAACTCCGCATGTGGCGAATTAGGATCCAAGTGGCACAACCCGGAGAAGAGAATTCGAGGAATGAGGAATCAATGCAAATGGGGAGAGAATAATAATGAATACGTGTTCTGTAGCTACGCCGACAAGGGACATTTTCACAGCAGCCTCAATATTCTCACTCTACCGAGGTTCAGCAAAATCGTGCGATTAATTATTATTCGTAAACCCGGCGATCGCGTCTGTCACTCGGGCGCATCCTGCAACGCTATCGCGATCCGGTCTAAGCTTGAGATGGTCTCCGCTTAGCTTGGACCTCGATTTGTCTGCGAGATCCTAGCTCGTGTGCTCTAGTGACGCCATCCCTGGGAGCAAAACCTTTTGCTTTCATTATTATTCTTGTCGGCGGCTCGTGGCGCTGGGCTCGGGTTCGGGTGGAGATCTAACAGGGGTAAAAAATTCGGATTTCACTCACGCGCTCTCTTCAATAACGGCTTGAGTGGTGGGGGATTGATCCTTTGGCTGTCCCTTTACCTTAGCGAGAAGGTGCAACCGCACTTCCCATTGCAACATTAATCTGCGGCCCTTGGTAGAGATGATGAAAAATATATGATTGACCGGGGCTCATCTAATAATCATAGACTATGGAACAAGCGCCGAACCCATCAATGATGTGCACCCCTGGGCTTGATCACCGCCAGGTGACGAGTCATCTTTATGCGAGCAATGAGTGTCCTCGTGGACCAGCAATTCCAATCGAGACTAGACACCTTGCAGGCCCGGCTCGGAAGCAGATTGGCTTGCCGCAGCACCCCTTTTCGTGTTAGTTAGATGAAGCCGGTCCAGGGATGGTTATTCGCGATGTATCCTATCCGTGTCTCGCAGCGGAAAAGGAGACCGAGTAGTGTGGAGAGGGACAGTAATTGGCATCGACGCCATCCGGTGGAAATGAGCCAATCATACCAATGAAAGGCACTTTGAGATCTGTGCCAATTTTTTCTCTCTTTGTGTACTATTTTCGGTGGACTTCCGGGACCCTCCCTCCCCCTTCTCCCTGCCCACTGGAATGTTTCTCTCTAGATCGATCCCGTATCCACTTTCTCACCCGTGGACGACTCGCGTTTCGGAGATCTGACTTGCTCTTGGCCTGACCGGATAGACCCGTTTAAATGGACGGATCGGGCAGGAAATAATACACCTTATACACACAGTCCTTTTCCCTGCTTTTTTTTCTATGAACGTTCCAGAATAAACTTCGGATTGTCGAACCTCATCCGCTGCTTTCTTTCCTCTTTGTCTTTCACCTTCTTCGAGTTCATCTATCCTGTTGAACATGTGCGTCTCTTGGGCAGCTTGAATCCAATGTGACTACCTTCCACCTGCCGTGAACCTCTGCCCTCTTCCCCGATGGCCCGCCCCTAACAGATGTCCATGAATAAGCCCCAATCTGGCAGAGGACTCGGGACTATCAGGGACTTGTTCCGCTTTGCACCCTCGCCCTCCGCCCCCCTCTCCTCCCGGCGTCGACTCTCGCTCCTGGTCCGTCGAGGAACGGATCTCTTCTCGAACAAGTAACTTCCATCCCTGTCCATTTCTGCCCCTCAATCCTTTTTCCTCCGTTCTGGCGCAGAAAATAAACCAGCGACCAGGACCGCAGGCTAAGAGCATGACCGAATACAGACACCCCGTAAGATCTCCCTCACCACCGTCCGGCATGAATTCAAATCCGCACTTCGACCCGGCCACTATGATGGGTTTGGCCGGCGCCTCGCCCGGACGAACAGAAGACAGCTTCGATATCTTCGAATGGTACCCGCGTTACCAGAGCTGCCAAAGCTATTTCCTGGATCACGCCCAACACAGTGTTCCCGTGCAAGCGCTGTCCGCTTTCCTCAATATCCGCCTCCCCTTCCAGCGACAGCCCAACCCAGTCTTCAACTCTTCATCATCATCCGCTTCCTCTTCCGGTGGCCAGACGCCTACAGCAGGAACACCACCGGCCGGCCCGCCGTCCGTTTCATTGATCCCCTACATTCGACGCCTGGTGGCTACAGGAATGGATTTCCCGGGGGTCCTTCATGGATTTTTTGGTGACAATTGGAGCAGCGGAGTTGGCCCGCTGCATGAACAAGAGCGCCGCAATTATCTTTTCGCAGCGAAGAGTGGAGGATGGGCCTCTGTCAAGAAGGACTACGACATCCCACCGCTGGAGACGATCCCGTTTTTGCGCCCGCTTCAAGGACCCCTAGACGCTGAGATCGAGGCAGCAGAGCGCAGCTGGAGCGAATGGCTCGCCATGGAGGACTGGATGGTTGGGCCCCGAGCCCCAGATATCCTCCAAGACTCGTCTTCGCAGAACTCGCGCCCGCGGAGTGCGCGTGGATGAACTCACTCTTGTTTCTTTCTTTCTTTGTCTGGTGGGCATATACTATACACATCGGGTCGGCGACATGGAGTCAGTCCATTGAGTCTTCTGAGTCTCTATTTGTTTCTCTAGCGATCTTTTTCTCTCTCTCTACACCTCTGCATCCATCGGTCCGGTCTTATCTCCAAATGGCCGATCCGATTACTGGTCTCTGAGTGATGGTTTCTTTGCTCAACAAACGTGATAATTTTGGCGGTGATATGAATTTATGTACTACAACTTTTCCATACAGAACCCTGGGAGCCATTCCTATGTGATCAATCCAGGGGGACGAGCAGGGACGGATAATCGCCTCGGCAAAACGGGGGCCTGACAGCGACCGAGCAAGCGAACTGCGCTGAGCGTAAACGAGGGGCCTCAAAGAACCAGGAGAGAGATCCCGGCTAACCGGTTCCCAATTGGCCTCCGAACGGACACGCACATCTGATTTCCAGCAAACGGACATATGTCCCCATATATCCGTTTTGTGGATCGGGCCCGTGAATTGGATCTTGACCAGCAAGTGAGCCGCGTTTTTGCCACCTGCCGCTTTCCTCTTTTTGTTACTATTGGGAAAGAAAGCGTCGAGAACCAGCAAAATGTGTACATACTACTACGCACTAGGAGATTCAAAAAAGGAAGCGGGATCGGTGAAATCACAACCCAACCCCACTAGTTTGCGCTTCTACCGCTGTGGACACCCCCGGGTCAAAGCCCAGATCCTGTCCGTGACTACTCGGCCGCCAGCGTCTGTCTGCTGGGCTTGTGGGGCTAATGGTACAGCCCCCCATGAAAGTTGTCTAAATACGGATGGAATTAGTCTCGTCGACCATGGATGAATTGATGAATTGATTCAGATGCCGCAATCCATTCCGGGCGGGACTCAAGGCATGTTGGGTGCAATTATTCAAAAAAGGACACAAAGAGTGAGGCGGAAAGTCTCTCCTTTCTTTGTTGCAAAAATAACTTTCTCGCGACCCCCACAAAAAACAAGAAAGCTACAAACACTAGCTAGAGAACAGACCAATAAGGTTCATCTAGACAGTTCGTTCACATTATTGTTTGGAGTCGGTCCAATCTGGGCCGCGGCCTCAAGGGAAAAAAAATGTGGCGTGGCTGAACACGAGCCTAGACAGCCCCTAAAAAAGGCCACTAACGATCGCCCCCTGGAGCCGGGGCGGGCTGTGAGACGATCTGAAATTCTCCGAGATCGTCTCAGAGGCTCAAGGCTGAGAGCAATGGTGGAGCCCAAGGCATTTTTTTCTGACCTACACAAAGGGTTCAGACCGTCGGAAAAGCGATTCCACTGCCTGATGCAGCCCCATGCCTGATTCTTTGGGGTTGTGCTTGATCCTGAAACCCAACGGCTGCGCCATGTACAGTACCGCAGTTCGAGGTTCGCACATCGGCGGAACCCCTAGAATCTCTCTTTCCATCTAGAGTAGGTGTGGTAAATCGGCGGGGAGGAACCAAGGGCAAATGGAGTAACAGTCTTGGTGATCAACTTTGAAACTCCTTCCAAAACGAGTCGATGCTACTCATCGACCATACTTAGATAAGTGGGCCACGAGAACTTGTGGGTTCCTTCTTGTTCATTCGAGCGACCATGCTCCCTTACAACGAAACCACCTCAAAATTAGTCTATATTAATGCCCCTCCGTGGCAAAAGTTTTATCTCGCCCGAGAACGCCGGCTTTCAGAAGGAAAAAACCGAAAAGTGCGAGGTACGTATTGTACAGATCCGATGTGGACCGTGGATCTAACGGCTTCGGCACCAAGATGAGTGAAATCTTGGGTCATGTTCCCTCCACCCGGCTAACGCCTCATCACTTGCGATCGGACAAAGAACTGGTTCGGTAGTGGAAACAAAACCCTAGGTGGATATTGACGTGCGATAGCAATGTTAATTGTCAGGGACAGGTCTCTGTTCTGTAAGAACTAGGAATTCCCGCTGCAAAACCTTTGCCTGGCGCTGGAGCAGATCCTTGGTTCAGCTCGGCGCAAAATCTCGGATCGGATCTGGGCCGTATACGGGGCCATGATCGAATCATGCTATTCTCACATGCAATTTCATTTAGGGTTATGCTCACTGCTGGAAGTTATCAACACTTGAACGCTAATTAGCACGTGTACAAAATTAAGACGAGAATGATTCGCCAATGAGTGACCGAGAGGCTCGTTGTTAGACACACTTGCAATCTGGACCGATACAGCGCACAGTCACAATTTCTGCTTTGGATCGCTGTACTTTCCTATTGAGAATGGATACTTGGAAGATTTTACACGCTGTGATTGCCCGCCAAAGACCAAAGCGCCATACCACCATGTTGTCCTCTGCTATCCGAACGGGGATTAAAGCGGTTGAATACCCAAGAGAACGAGACCAAATTTGACCAACATAGTGCACTCAATGGCTGCTAGTTGAATAATCACAGGGAAAACTAGTTCTAATCCAACAAAGCTTTTTTTGAAATGGCACACTGACAACTTCTGTTTTTGCATCAGTTTTCTGAATGTATTTGTGTTCTGTCTGTGTCTACTGAAGCAGACCAATCAGTTCCCTCATACTATACTGCTCAAGATTATACACAACTTCCTTGATGCGCTTTGCTTGATCCTCTCCGTAAACAGGAGACGCTAATCCAAGGTACTTGGCGTACACTTTGTCGCTAGAGGACTCTCCGGCTCCATCTTCCGGCATTGGCTGAATGACCTCTGTGATGACAGACCCGTCCACAAACTCAATTGCTATCTTTTGCTGAAATTTGAGCATTGTTTGTTCAGACGAAATGTTGATCCGGTCAGTCAGAGCATGAAGATCGGAATCATGCAATCTATCATACCCGGCCCAGCCAGTATATCCACCATGGAGCCAGGCTAAGGCAACCTGATAATAAGCCGAGAATTGGGCATCCACAATATTCTGTGGGTGAATCTTATTGGGCGTGGAAGCCCCAACAATCGGGAGCTGGTATTCTGGAATTCGGACTGTGATAGACTTAATGTCCTTGTTCAGCGTGCTAGGGGTTCGCAACTTGTCGACCATAGCAATGAGTCCATGCGTCATTCGACAGGCTGGAAATGGCTTCCAGATTGACTTCAAGAACTCCCATTCAGTCCCGAGCGAGTGAAGAAGCTTGTCGTAATTGATCTTTGCTGGCGTGTATGCGTTGAAAAATCCAAATTTGCCCTCAAAGATCTTTTTTGCACCAATAACTCCAGATTCTGCTAATTCCACGCAAAGCCAGGCGTCATGGACTGCAAATCCTGGATGCAATCGCTTGTTCCAAGACCCGTTTTCGAGGTACTGCATCGATCCGGCTGCTTTGGATCCCGCAAGGCCGAATGCCATCTCGATAACGGGTGCGGAAAGATCTTTGATCTTAGCAATGGTCGCTACAGCCCCGAAAATACCCGCCGTTGCGGTGTTATGGAATCCTCTCGAGTATGCTGCTTGACCAAGAGCTCTTCCGAGACGGCATGTCACTTCATACCCCACTGCAAGTGCCACGAGAACGGTTTCACTACTGACAGATGTATGCTCGGCGGCTACAAGCCCTGCCGCTATCGTTGTAACACCAGCGTGCAGAGAGCCATCTGCATACGTGTCATCGAAATCGAGGGAATGACCAAGGAACCCGTTAAGCAGACCAGCGTATTGAGCGTTGAACTTCTGGTCTTTTCCGATCACAGTGTAGGAGCCATTTGCTCCATTGAGTCTTGAGATAGTCTCGTACACAGGCCCAGTGGACTCGGCTTTCTGTGTGGCGGCGGCAGTAACACCGATATAGTCGATTATCAGGTTTTTCAAAGTTGTTGTCGTTCGGTTATTGAGCTGTTTGTACTCTGTCTGATGCACAAAATCCACCAATATCTTTGTAACCGGAGCGGGGGCATCTTCAGGTGCTGTCTTCGTGGGCTCTGCTGGCGCAAACTCTTTGGGTATGTACACCGTCCCATCCATGATACGGCGTGCGGTTCGGATAAAAGAGAGTGTGTGAAACACTGGTAGACCGTTGGATCCCAAGTTATCTTCAACTTGAACACAAACGCTCATAATTCCGATGGGATGAACGATGTCGAGAGCGTCCAGTTCTGCTGTCTTCCCAATCACTTTGTTGACAATAGTGCCAGGGACACGACTGCAAGCTGCTGAGCAAATGGCACCTGTACCGGCCATGCTTTCATGGCACATTTTATCGAGAAAAAGCCGAGCTGAAATATGGCCCTTGGCAGGATCCTGCAGGGGGGCGACGAATATCGGCAAAGGTGCAAACGGGGAGATTGTGTCCCAGGTTGTCCAGTCGTTGGTCAAGCCCAGAAGCTCCGCTACTTTTCCTCGTAGCTCTTGGCATTTTGCAATCCAGGATTCGTTGGCTGTGAGATCGGCGGCACTCTCATAGCCAGTGATGCCGAAGTCATGTGCGTTGACGAATACACATGGGTTGGCGACGTCGCAGGCAGTCACCTCAATATCCTTTCCACCAACGTTGACTACATCGATTGGTTTTCCAGTCGGGAGAATTCCTTTAGAGAGGATTGATCCAATAGACTGATCTATCATTAGCGCCTCAATGACTATTCCAATGAAAGAGGGAAGCTTACTGATCGATAATCCATCAGAATAGGACTCGCCTTCCCTGGAACACCGGCAATCTCCTGGTTTCCTTGATCTTCGAAGCTTCCGCTTTCATCAATCGGGACGTGTGCCACAATTTTCTTCTTTGTGCCAGTATTATAAATGCGAACCTCCTGTGTTTTCATCCCAGGTACAGTTGAACTGCCCGGCCTGAACTCGACCAAGCCTTCGTCAATGGCAAATGGTCCAACTGCGGACGATATATTACCACAATTGCCCACGTAGGATATTGTGTCGTCTGAAACTCCGACCTGAACGAAGGTATAGTCAACATCGATGCCCTGACGGGCTGACTTTTTGATAATAGCGATTTTCGAGGTAACCGCTTTTGACCCGCCCATTCCATCAAGCTGAAGCGGGTCTGGTGACCCCATCATGCGCTTTAACAGGCGGTCCCTCTCAGCGCCTGGTGGAGGAAGTATATCTTCATGGATGAAAAGTGCTTTACTGGTTCCGCCTCGATACAACGCGACAGGGATGCCATAGCTGTTCTGTTTCGGCATGATGGCTGAGAAACGGGCTATTTTAAACCCACAACAGATTTAAACCGAGATTAAATGGGCGCTCGGAAGGACAGAATAATGATAGTCAATAACGCTCAATCGTGATTAATTTGATAATTTATGTCACGCGCGGCACTCGGCTCTACGTCTCGGGCCGGTGCGGCTTGACCTGTTTCCCCGCAATTAATTGACCGGTCAACAAGTCGACGTCGGCTTTTTCTCCAAGTTCGCAAAAAGAGAAGCAAAAGGGATCAGTTCCCTTATTGGCAAAGAATTTTGCAATTGGCGTAAGCTGCTGTACTGTGTCTTCATATTAGGGTCAATTGTGACTTTTCAGATAAAGTTTATTGCCTAATTGCAACAAGTATGTTCATTAAATTGGAATTCAAGCTCTATATCCCCCCTTCGTAAGATTTTCCGCCAGCAGCTTTATCAAACTCCATTGCCTCATCCAAACCACAGACACTGTACAAAGAAGCTGGGCCCACATTGGCCGTTTCGTCAGGAAAATCGCCAGTTTCCTTGAGATACTGCACAGACTTGGTGATCGATAAAAAGGCCGCCCTAGAGGCGATAGCAGGGAATATGATAATCTTGAACCCAATTTTCTGGGCTTCCGAGACGGTCAGGCGCGGGGAGACTCCTCCCTGAACCATGTTGTATAAGACCGGGGTCGGGTGCAGCTCTTTACAAACACGTTCTGCCTCTTCCAGAGTGCGAATACCCTCGAGAAAAGCCACATCAGCACCCAGACTGATTGCCTTTTTCAGTCTGTTTAGAGCGACTTCAAAACCAAGGACATGCAATGCGTCCGTACGTGCGATTATGACAATATCGCCGTCAAGTTTTGCTCGCATGTTCACGGCCGCTTTGATCCGTGACAAGTACTCGTCTTCTGAGACCAGCTCTTTATTACGGAGATGGCCACATCGTTTGTTGACGACCTGGTCCTCGAGATGTAGAGCTGCAACGCCGGCACGCATGTACTGAGCGACCGTACGGCCTACCATCAATGCACCTAAAAGGGAATATGTTAGTTCCATTTGTATATATCGTCTCTGAACACGTTAAATATCATACCGCCGTAACCTGTGTCTGCGTCTGCAATGAGCGGAACCGATGGATCCAAGCTGGAAATGAGAGCAGCGTTATCCCTCATATCATTCAAGGTAGCTAGACCTATATCAGGCATTCCAAGTCGGGAAACTGCAGTTCCGGAGCCAGTCTAATATTTCATCAATAAATCTACTTTAAGGTGTTCAATGAGGAAGTGTCCGAGGCTCACCATATAAAGGCTCTTGAAGCCGGCATGAAGGGCAATACGCGCACTGAGCCCGTCATATACGCCAGGGCACACGACGATCTCATCCTTGTTCGCTATTTGCCGCCGTAACAATGATGCAGGGGAGATAAAAGAGGTGCCTTCCATGATGAATCTCTTTTGTGCGTGGTTGATCGGACAGTAAAGGAAGGCACGACCGCGAGATATAGCACGTAGAGCTTTGAGACTTGCTGACTTATACATCTTGGATCGAGCTGAGCATGCCGGCTTATTAGGCTTTTTTTTTTCTTTCTTTTTTTCGGAGAGTTGTGCGAAAGCTGTTTTGCCGGATTGTGGCCGATGACACCTGGACCTCAAATCGGATTTAAGGGGTGACGTCGGCAATTGAGCGAAACAGTAGCGGGTGGAGCCGCTCTATCGACAAATTAGATGCCGATTTCCCGAATTTCTCGAAGGAAGACATGCACTGCGGTAAGTGAAGGATCCCATTGAAGTGCGGGGGATTTTGGCAAATGGCTCAATTGCGAAATCCATTAAAAGGCCGGGTTCCGGGCCTCGGTGCGACACGTCCGTTTTTCGCTCGAGCTACAAAATTGGATTTCTTGATTACAAAACGACTCAGCAGTCTCACAGGAGAACTTGACGAAGCTGCCTATGCATCTGATAGCGTTTTCTGCTGAAAGCTAATTTCCAAAATGGCAACAAACGACGCTAGTCTTCTGACCTTGTCTCAGAGAATCTCACATGTCCTACAGACAACCCGTGGAATTCATATCGAGTCTCCGGTACAAAAGAAAGAATGTAAGACCCAATTACGTTTTTGGCTGATTAAAATAATATATAACAATATCTAGGCGATACCGACAGCGATGAACTCGCGTTTGGAAATTTTGTGGCCGTACTCGATGCCTTCATCAATCTCCTGGAAGGCCAAGATAAGCCGAACGAGGCCGATGCAATTCAGCGCACCAGAGACATCGCACTGGAACCCAAGTCTCATGGAGGTCTTGAAATTGATTTGTGGAAACCACTTGAGCCATCTGCTTGTGATGCACTCACTTTTTGGGTCGAGGCATGGCTTCAGTCACTATCCTCGGCGGAAAAAAGCCGGCAGCTTCTGCGCCCTCTATCAACGCGACCAGTGCAGAGACGTGGAATGACGTTGACAGAAAAAATCCTTGCACATCACTCTGTCGATTCTATTGCATCCAATGGTCTTACTGCCGGAGATTTTGTGCGAGTGGCTATCGACTGGGTTGCTGCGTCTGAGATATCATACTTTGTAAGCGCCTTTTCGTTTACTAATTTGTGGACTTCCAAAACTAACCGAGGGTATTTTTCTTCTAAAGGGAATTAACAAAACACTCTCTCAGCTTGACTCATTCAAGATTTGGCGCAATGACCGTTTCTGGATTGCTGGGGACCATGTCGTCGATCCTCGAACGTACAACACTCCGTTAAATCGCCGGCTTATCAAAGCTACAGATAAAGCTGCACAAGACTTCAAGCTGACTGATTACAAGGGTCCAAATGTGAGCAACGCCACTGGCTAAACTGCTCCGCATCTATGTATCAGTATTGATGCATAATATTTAGTATACCATCATGCACACCGAATTTGTGAGAGAAAGAGCAGAGCCGGGATTACTTGTCCTTGGCTCCGATTCTCGTATAATACCACATGGCCCTCATTGCGCTCAAATCGACTGACGGTTAAATAGATACGTGTTCTTCTGGCGCTGTTGGATGTCTCGCTGTCGGGCTCGGTGCCGCAGACGTTGCGATGAGTGTGATTACCGGTGAAACCTGGTTTAAAGTCCCTGAGTGTATTAGCATTCAATTTGTTGGACAGCCACAACTAGGAATTGGAGGAAAGGATGTTATCCTCCATATCCTCGGCGAGCTCAAGCGCAACACAGTAGCTGCTGAGAAAGTAGTCGAGTTCTCAGGTCCTGGCTGTCGATACCTGTCTGTGGATGCACGGTTTGCAATTGCAAATATGTGCACGGTAAGCCATTCTTGAGAAGAATATGCTTTTATAATTTAATTTACTAACCTTTTTTTAATAGGAGTTTGGTGCCATAACAGGGCTATTTGTGCCTGACGACATTGTTCAGACCTACATTTCGGGCCGGAAGCAAAAGTACAGGCGGTCTTCCTCAATTTACTTTCAACCCGATACAGATGCGGTTTATTCAGGTACGTACGAGATTGATCTATCCAAAGTAACGCCGCTTTTCGCGATCTATCCTTCGCCCGATGACGTGGTTCCTGTGACGGAGAAGGAAGGCATGCATCTCGACGGATGTTTTATTGGCGCATGCACAACAACCGAAGAAGACTTGATTCTTGCTGCTCTTGTTTTGAATGTTGGTTTGCGGCGGAATTTGCCGTTGGCCCCTGGCAAGCGTCATGTGGCTCCTGGGTCAATTCCTATCCGATCTCGGCTCGAGGCCTTGGGCTTTTTGGATACATTCAAAGAAGCTGGCTTCTCAATTGGAGTACCAGGATGTAGCTATTGTGTCGGTATGGGAGCTGATCAAGCTGGCGAAGGTGAGGTATGGATTTCGTCGCAGAATCGAAATTTCCAGAACCGCATGGGAAAGGGCTCCATTGGCAACCTCTCTTCCGCGGCTACAGTTGCCGCCTCATCTTTTGAGATGAAAGTCACTGATCCATCATCTTTTCTGGCGGAGATTGAAGCGAGTTATTTCAATGCGATAAAAAGCCACCCGAAGAGGAGCAAGCCTGCGAACCGTGTTCATCAGATCACCGACATTGCCTACGTGGAACCCAATTATGATTCATCCACCGCAGATACCAAATTTAAGAGCACCTCAGGTTCTGATGGAGCTAATGGCTCTGCCAATGGATCCAATGCCACAAGGTCCCCAATCAAAGAACGTGTCATCAGGCTGGGCGACTTTGTTGACACGGACGCGGTAAGCGCCTCCTTCCTAGAACCACACGGGCAATTGACGACCTAGATTAGATTGCACCGGCGGACTGCCTAGTGACTGCCACGACCGATGAAGCTTTAGGCGATCATTGCATGGAGTACGTGATGCCTGAGTTTCGACAGAAGGTCCGGGATGGACAAAAGGTTCTCGTTGCAGGCAAGGCTCTGGGGGTTGGGTCCTCACGTGAAGCAGCGGTGAGAGCCTTGAAAGGTAAGTTTATAATAGCAGGAATCTTTGAAGCAAAAGCACTCTTTATTATCCGTGCGGCAACTTACTCGTCTAGGTCTCGGGGTTCAATGCGTGATTGCTCGTTCTTTCGCATTTATCTTCAACCGTAATCTCCCAAATTTGGGAATCCTTCGCTTCACAATTGATGATGATAATTTCTATGAACTGGCCGTTGATGGCGCTGAAATCCAAATCAGCTTGGATGAACGACAGGTCCAAATTGGTGGATCGACGTTCCATTTCCAGCTGTCTGACATGGAATTGGCTCTTATTGAGAACCAGGGCATGACGAATGCTTACCAAAGGTTTGGAAGTGATATTTTCCAGTCCCTGGCTGGCGGAAGAAAGGTTGCCCGTAAAACGACTTCCAGACTGACTGGTGCGGAACCGGAGGTCCCCGCGGCACTAAGAGATTTGCAATGGTAGGAAGAGATAGATATGACTTGTTAGATCGTGCTTATATAAATCCGTTCCTATTTTTAACAATATCGAGACACAAAGCATCTAAGAAATACCAAACAAAGTCTTCAATTTTGGTAGTTCAATTTCACCAAAAAACTATTTTCTTGATTATACCACATCCTTATTTGAAAGGAATTGGATTAGTTAATTGTTAGAGCAGAGGATTTAAAAGCTTGATATGCATTGCTAGTCAATAACGGAATGATCAATCTACCAAATCCATCGAAACCCTACAATGTATATCTGAAATCAGGATGCTGGTCACAGAGCTCCTCATAATCCTTAAGACTGTCAGGGTTGATCTCTCCCCTCGCAGCAAACTCGGCAGCCACGGCATCCCGGCATTTGTTCTCTTTGCCGAGGATCCACATAGTGAGAAGGACAGCAACCACGCCTAGAGCGTTCAATCCAAGTAGTGTACCATGTCCCTCAAAAAATCGCGGTGGATCAACATAGACCTGCGTACTGATAATGCTGTAGCACTGAATAAAGATCTGTGCCATTGCCCAGGAAGTGGCTCGCTTGGTAAAGCCAGCATGTGAGATCAAGACCCAGGCGCTAGACAGAACGACAGCGGGATAAGCGCCGGCCGAGACAAAGCAGCATCCCACCACAAGGACGGCTTGATTGGTACTCGTGAGAAGGAGAATATACCCGATCAGGCAAACAGAAAGGCAAATTAAAATTGGGATTCCCTTTTTGTCGAACCGATCCGCCAGAATGTTTCCAATCGGAAGAGTGATAATGCCAAATGCATAGGGGATCATGGTGTATAGTTGAGTCATGACTAGATTCAGAACCTGTTAGCGGTGGAACTATTTTGATAACATGCAGTAAGGTACTCACGCGTTGAGAAGCCAAAGAGACTTATGAAAGTAGGGAGGAAAACTCCAAATGCAGCCACATTTAAGCACACTGCCGCAACAGCCATTGCTTGTAGCCAAGACTTGGGATCTTTGATAGCGAGCCAGACTTGAACGGATTTTGGCCTCGAATCTGGCACATTCCTAGCTATTGTATCTAGGTAAGAATATACTTTTCATGGCGGAAAGTGTGGCTCTGGCCTACCGATCTTGGTTCTTTGAAGAATCATTTCCCGCTCCTCTTCCGTCTTGAAAATCACACTTCCATATTTTGAAACTGTTTCTGGAAATTTAGGAAGGAAGATGAGAATCAGAAGGCCCCAGAAAATAGTAGGAACCCCTTCTACCAGAAAAAGCCAACGCCAGGAAGATATTCCTTGGCTGCCATCGAGGTTTTTGCCAACGCCGTAAGCGATGAGCCCGCCAATTGCACCTGCTATTGGAGCCGGAAGATAGAAAAATGCTTCGGAGGAATCAGTGTGCGCATCATCCATTAATAGACAAGGATATATACTCACCTGCTCTAGTTCCCACTTCATTGGGATAGTACCACTGTGCCAGATAGAGATTGCCTGTCTGAACCACTGCCTCGAATGCCCCTGTTAGAAGCCGAAGGGCCATAATCGGCGCGTAAGAATGGCAAGCAGCAATACAGCAAGCTATCACACCGAAGAGCACGACGGCAGAACCAAATACTACGGGCGCTGGAATGTACCGCAGGGTCAATGCCGCTGGGAGTTCAAATACCATGTAGCCAACGACTAACCCGACGATTATTGTTAGCGCCGTCTTTTGGAAGAAGGGAAACGAACAAAGAAAGATTGTCAAATAACGAGACACTCACAGAACATCATTAGGCAGTTGTAGTATTGGCTGCTTGACATATTGAGATCCTCATCCATTCCCATGACTTTAGCATTTCCAATCTGCGTTCGGTCCTGGTTATTATTATTTAATCAGCAAGTGAATTGAGACGCAGTGACAGCGCAGTACAAACCAGATAAGCAAAAAAGAAGCACCCAGCCAGCAGTGGCACAATCGCCAGGTCTTGTTTCAGCAGCAATCGCTTCTCGCGTGGGGACTTTTCATGTTTGAAGTCGGGGACAACATGGTGCTTCTCTTCGTGCTCTGTATACTCCACTTTCTCCTCCATTGACTTGTTCTGGATAGCTTCCATTGTGAGTAGGTTGACCTATGACCAAGGGTGATAAAGCAGACACAGGAAGTATCAAAGAAGAGAATCCCGCTGTCGATATCGTGGTTGGACCCTAATCAAGAAGATACCAAAATCAAGCTCGATCTCTACCCCATGGGGTTCATGCAGGTTTTGCAATTTTAGCAAATGACCGGTCTCTACTGTTTTGCCGATGAATCTGGGGTAAAAGCCGATCCTGGCCGCCATCTCCGATCCTGGCCGCCATCTCCGATCCGACCCACATGCTGAGAGACACGACGAGTTGATGCAGTCTACGCAGGACTCGAGAAGTCGCCTGTCTCAAGAGCAAATTAGCACTAGCAATTGGGATATTCTAAATATCATAAACCAGATGATTTCCATAGGCGCATATAATGTTACCGTATGACTCTAGTATAAGCTCCAGAGCTGCAGCTACATGTATATTAAAATAGAGGCTAGCCAATGCCATGACAACAAGGAATTCTCACCAATTAACTCATGAGAAATCATATAACATACAGTATATGGAGAAATTCATTTTGTCCGTGTTCCTCGGTTTTCAGTAATGGAAAAGTGATTATTGGAAACAGCTCGAATGATCTCGGGCCGTTTACGGAGCAACGCGGGGCTAGGCAGCGGGGCGAATGACTAACTGGAGCGATAGCAGCACCAACTTGTGGCTTTTGATCATCAAAATTCCGATCTCAGACGACATATTGCTCAGAATAATGATCGAAACAAAGCGGCCCGGAAGAACCGTCAAGGCATGCACCAATTGCCGGCAGCAGAAGGTAGACGGTTTCCCGAATCGCCTTTTCTTCCACCCCATGCTTACCCTAAGAACTAGTTGCGGTGCGATGCTAGCGACAACCTCTCTAAACTATGTTCACGATGCAGTCGCCTGCATTTGGACTGCGTCGTCTTACGGTCTTTCAAGAGGGTCAAAAAGAAAACGTGAGCTAGAACCTGTAACAGTCAAAGTGTTGATCCTGACAAGCACCCAGTAAAGCAGAATTGCAGCAAGAAGTAGAATTCTTGCGCGAGCAAATATCAATGAGAGCCCCGACAAGCCCCCCTGTCGACGAGCTTCTCATGGAGCCCGATGCTGCAGATCTGGATGGAGTCCCGCCCTCACTCCTGTCCAACCCATCCCCCGGTCATCGGACCGTAGAATATAGTCCACTCGCACAAAACCAAGATGTCGGGAATGCTCTGCTAGGGCCATCTTTGCCATCAGGAACGTTACGTTCTCGGCATAACGCCGATGCATCCCCGACATCACCGCGATCTCTGGACGGCTTCGAGGTGGAAGCTCACAAGATCGACGACTGCTTTTCATTGTGACTTTTATCATACCCCAGTTAACGTGCACGAACCCTAATGTTCAATGCAGGTTCTTTTCCAATTATGCTCACATTCTACCTATTCTTGACGCACAGGTATCACCTGACGAGTATTACCTCCGCTGTCCACAACTTTTCTGGACGATTGTGGGAGTGGGCTGTCGGCAGTATGTTCGAGATCCGACCCTATTGACACGGCTAGCACCGTCAATCCAGAATATGACTCTATCGTCGTTAGCAACACGAGTGGCTGTCATCGACATGATTCAAAGTCTACTTATACTATCTACATGGCCATTCCCCTTCAATTCAGCCAATAAAGCCATGGTGCATATATTTAGCGGTGCAGCTGTAAACCTAGCTCAGCAGATTGGCTTGCACGTTGTCGGTGTTGGACAAGATTTTGCTCGTGTTAAGCTCAATCCAGATGAGTCGGTTAAAACATACCGCGCACAGTTATGGCATTACTGCATCATAATAAATCAGAGGTAAGAAGCTATGCTCATGGTATAAAAGTAAACGTCGGCTGAGTTTTGATATCATAACAGTACCAGCTACGCAGATGGACTTCTGCCCAGTGTCTTAACCGCCATGGATAAGAATGATATCACTCGCGCTCACTCACTACTCTCTCCCGATCTGCAATACAGATACAAAATCCATCAAGTCGCTCTCGAAGCCACACAGGCCATGCAGCAAGCTGGATTAGCCGAAAGTAATGTATACAACACGGCACTTCTGCATTCTCTAGTCGGTACCTTCGACCGTGAGTTGTCAAGTATGTCGCCTTCGACAGACACCAGTGGCATGAGTAAGCCAAACCCTCGCATGAATGCAGGTAATTGAAGTCTCACATCCACCAAGCCAGGATATATTACGTCCTCGCGCGGCTACACATCAGAACATTCCATTTCTTTAGCACCCACAGCCCGGAAACTTTTGCCCCACTACTCAGCGTCTACGAGACAGCCGTGGAAGCAATCGAAACAGTAACCTCAATGTGTACACCGGCTGCAGTTTGCACATTCTATATACATCGGATGCTGGTTCTCGCGGCCTTGACCATTCTGAAGATCCTACGCAGCGACATGCATAAATCAGCAGTTGACGCCCAGGCTGGAGAATGCGCGTATTTCTCCGCGATTATGTTTCTTCGACGGCTGTCCATGGCCCATGACGATATCAGTGCGCGCGGTGGAGACATACTAGCTCAGATGTGGGCTAGCGACTCTGTTTTCAAGGGTACTGATGGCGCAAGAGATAGCCTCACGCTGCGTATTCGAAGTCGGCTGACAATGAGTGTCATATATGATGTTTTCTGGTGGTGGCGTGAGGAGATTGCTGGGTTAGCGAGCCCTTATAAGGAGAAGCGGGACGGGAATAGTAAAGGTGACTGAGTTTCCCGTGAACTGAACAGAGAGACTTGCTGACAATTCAAACAGAGACTACAAGAGGGAGATCCGATATATATGCAAATGACATCCAAGGCCAGGAAATGCATTCAAGAGCTTCAGCAGAGTTTGACAGCATCCCATACTTTGGCACCGAGTTTGACGACCTCGCAGAATTCAGCTGGACAGGAGCACTGAAAGACGCGACACTGGACCAACCAGTCAATGAAACGATATTTGGAATGACTCCTGGCTCGAACTAATAGGCTTTTGCAAGCTGAGAGATGTAACTATAGATAGATAAAAATACCATTTTAACCCAGACGAGTCCAACACCCAGCTAGGCAGCTGGCCAAACATCACTCGGAATGTACACCTTCCCATCCATAAGTCTCCTGGACGTCCGCACAAAGGCAAGAACATTGTACTCCGGGGCATCAAGTGAGATAGTTGACGAGCGCCTCCCTTGAACGGCAGCCTCCACTTTGACAGGCATAATACCCAGGGGATGAGAAATGTTGAAAACTTCACTCTCCAATGTTCCGGTACCCATCACCTGGTATACCATAGTTCCCTCAATTCGACTGCACCCCGCTGTACAGGTAGCTATAGTCCCAGCCATGCTATCATGACACATATTATTCAAGATAAACCGGGATGTGATATGACCAACCTGACTCGGCGGCCCAATGAGAGTAACTGACGGTACACCAAGGGACTGCTCGTCGACGAGTTCCCAGTCCCGGCACATACCCAGTAACTGTGCAGCTTTGCCGCGTACTTCTTTACAGATAGCTATAATTTGCGGGTTGTTTGTGATGTCGGCAGCGCTGAGACCTGATAGATTCTCCACGCCCAGGTCTGTCGCTCGCACGAATGTGGTCAGTGTGGCGATGTCCACGATGGTGACTGGTACACTCTTTTGGCCGATCTGCAGCGCATCCGTTGCATGTCCTGTTGGCAACGGGCCGTTATCACGGAAGCCGCCAATGGTCTGCATAAGTAGATGTTAGATATATGAATCCCGTATCCTCCTAAGACAAGAGCATACATTCCTAAAATCCATAAGGATCGGCGCCCCTGTCCCCGGCACAGCAGCAATAGCAAAATCGCCCTTGGAGAGAGCCTTTCCCGAGGCAATATGCACAGGAACATGCGCAATAAGAATCTTCTTAATAGCAGTTTGATAAATGCGCACCTCCCTCGTCTTCATGCTCGGATCAACAGAGACACCCTCCCGAAAGGGCGTCTTAATCAACCCCTCATCAATAGCAAAGGGTCCAACCCCGGAACTGATATTCCCACAGTTCCCATGGAAGCGAATACTATCCTCGGCAATGCTAACTTGCGCGTAGGTGTAATCAACGTCGGCGTCGGCACGGTCCGAGGTCTTGATAATGGCGACCTTGGAGGTGACGATGCGGGTTCCGCCTAGTCCGTCGATTTGAAGGGGGTCTGGTGTACCCATTGCTCGTTTCATTACCGCATCCCGGAGGGGCCCTGGTGGGGGCACGTCTTCGTCTTTGAAGAAGAGAGCTTTGCTGGACCCGCCACGGATTAGGGCGGTGGGGATGCTGATTTGGTCCGGGAGCATTTTGGAGATTATTTTCAAGGACTAGTGGGTAGGTATTATTCACAGGATTTGGTTGTGGTTTGTATACTAATGGGGTAAGACTGGAAGGTGGGTGAATTGCGCGATGTTGCTGTGCTTAGGCCGAATAAGCCGATCCGGTTCATGTGTCCGAACCGGTTCCAAATCTCCGGCTGCCATCTGTCAATGGAGCAAATGGAGCAGTCGATCGAAACGTTTTAGAACTTGAATGAGTGAATCAAAAGTGTGAATTTCAGATTACTATAATGAACAGACGGTGTTGCATGAGGTCATTAGCTTGATTAATATACGAAATTAGCAAGCAATAACTCATCTCATAACGCCAGCGCTGAAATGCTTAACTAAATATTGACCTTTTCCCCCTTGATATATGCATTAAATGAACATGACCGAATAATAGACAATCCAGGGTTTAGGTGACCAACGCAGCCATAGGTGAGGGAGGGGTATCTTTTGAGGGTGGTGAATCTGTAGACCAATAGAAACGAGAGGTAGGATATGTGCAAGCCAGAGAAAAGGCAGGCAAAGCCATATTGCCACAAGAGCGGACCAGTTCATGAACCATGCCTCGCTGTAGCAAGACTCTAGATTTTTGACAGATTGGAATGTCTTTTTAAGCCTGAGTTCAGGCTGAGCTGCGAGCTCCAGATATTCTGTGACTGTAGCCTTGGATGGGTCATATCAGGCAAAGAGACAGATTGTAGGGGATTTTCGAGAACACTGCGGCGACGAGAGAACACATCATTCTCAGCTGAGCTATTTTTATCTCGAGGACTGGCATTCTGTTGATTGCGGCTGCGGCGTCGGTAACCACGAAGATACTCATTCGGAACAGGGTCAACTTGTTTCTTGGCGGCAGGGACGAGGTTGAGATAGAAGGGGAAGATGGCACCGGCACAGAAAACCGCCACGAGAACACAGAACGAGTATGACTGGCCGCGGGCTAGGTAGGCGGCATACTGCGCGAAGGGGAAGAAGGCGCCACCGCTGACGGCGACGGTCAAGAATGTTGCGGCGGTCTTTGTGTGTCGGGCCGTTCCGCGCAGTGAGATGGCAAAGATGATGCTGAAGGCACCACTCTCGAAGAGGTAGACTAGCATGGCCATAACTATGGCTGCACAGCCGGTGGTCTTCATGCAGAGCACAGAGAAGACGATCATCCCAATGTAAGAGATCATGAGAATCCAGCGAGGCTTCAGGAACAACTGCGCAAAGGCGGCAACGAAGCGCCCTACGGCGAAGACGCTATGGCCGATCGTCAAGATTTCGAACGCATCAATGGATGTTCCAGAATTTGCAGAGAGGACATATCTTTCAAGAGCTGTCGAAAGGACTTCCTGTCCAGCCACATAAAAGTATAGTGACCACACTCCCAATGCAAGGGTGAGCCAGACCACAGGGACTCCAAGTACTTTGGTCATGTTGTCTCCTCGGCGACGATTGGCTAGCTCCTCCAGGTCGTCATCAGATGCCTCAGGAATCGGTAAGTAATAGAAGGCCACTGCCAAAAGCACATCAAAAAGAGCAATCCCAAGATACGTCCACTGCACGTCTACCAGAGAGGCGACGTCAGTGACGCTCTTGAAAAGCACCTTCTGGGCCAACAACGGTGAGAGAACGCTTCCGATAGCTTGCACGCCTTGTGAAATATTCAAACGGATCTCTGAATTTTCAAGTGGACCGCACAGCGCGATAAACGGATTAGCGGCCGTCTCCAACACTGAGAGGCCAATTCCAACGACGAAGTTGGATATCGTGAAGGCGGCAGTAGATGTGAGGACAGCAGATGGCCAGAAGATCAGTGCTCCACAGCCGTAGATACACAATCCCGTTATGAAGGTAGATTTGAAGCCCCAGGTTTTGAGGACTGGGCGACCGACGAGCAATGGACCGACGACATACCCACCAAAGTAGGCACCGTGAAGACCCAATGAGTGCCAGGTGTCAAGCCGAACGATCTTCTTGAACTGATTATTGAGGACATCCAATAAACCGTATTCAAATCCCCACAGAAAGAAAAGCAGAGTAGTCCAGGCGTTGGGCGCGATCGACTCTCTGTTATTCAACTTGAGCATGCTCTCTGGATTCTTCACGTTGACGAAGTCAAAGAATCTAAAATTATATGGGTGGGATGAACTGGTGGGAGCCGTGTTTGCCTCTGTGTCTTGACCCTCGCTGCCATGCTGACCGAACATATCTTGCATCATCATAAGGGCGTTGGAACTGCGACGACGTATAGCCATGCTACCCTTTCTTTGCTGCGGCGACGGTTTTTCATTGCTATCTGATGGCGAAGATGGTGTTTCGCCACCAGAAGCGGGCATTGCGGCGGGTGAAGGCATCGCAACGGGACTGTCGCTTGCCCCATGAGCAATTGGGGTGTTAACAGATGAATTGTTTGTGTCTTTGATCAATTTGGGGACAAGACGGGCAACAAGGGGCTTGAGACTGGGAACACATCCGCAGATGACGGACACATTGACTTCGACGGCTGACCACATGAAAGACAGCGACGCATACCCTGAACCATCGATACAGATTAGCCGAATTTTCACTTGACAACAACAGAAAGCCCGAACATACAGCTAAAGTCGGCAATTCCAATGTTGGAGATGTGGATTGATCGGATTTCCGTTCTATGGGAGGTGGCCGCTCGTTGGAGAAAAGCAATTCGGATCACATCGACTACGGCCACGAAGAAACCGAAGCTGAATGTAATGACCAGAATCGCCTTCTGCTTCATGGGTAGCCGCATATTGGTCAAGATGGGCATTGGCAGAAAAAGGATGGCCAGGTCGGTGATGATGTTCACTGGCGACGAGGAAAGGTACAGCGTGATGATATCGATACATTGCGCACCGTTCGGGACCGTGGAATAAAACGCGGCGCTGACGGGATTGCATTGGAAGACATTGACAAGAGTCAATGCGAGACCGGCCGCGTTTACCACCGCAAGGGTCACGTAGTTGGCCCATCGAAAGACTTTCTCGCCGCGCGTGAAAGTCAAGTAAAAGACCAGGATGGAGGTTTTGACGGACATCAACGCTGGATTCTGGACCAAAGGTCAGTATCTCGTCATCTTCACTTGTCGGTGCCCCCCGTAACGTACGTAGAGGACGGTAAAGGCATAATTAGCGCGATTGAGGCCAGGTTCATCTGCTCGCGGGATGGCGTCCGCATGGAGCCCGAGTCCTTTGCTAGTCGCGTAGAACAGGGAAAATGAGAATCCAAAGTCGATCAACTGTAGCATCATTAATGCGCCGAGTCCGACACATCCCGGGGAGCATGCAGGGTCCGGCTGGAGACGGTACATACCCATGCGAGCAACATCAAATAATCGTGTAGCGCGACTTTTCTCACCACGAAGATGCGGGAGACAAACCGCAGGGCCACGAAGATGCTGGCGATGACGAAGAAGGGGACGGAGACTCCCAGCACGAGCGACCGGCGGTCCTGCATTGTGTGCGCAGGCGGGCGAGCGCCCTTTTGTACGGTCTTCACGGTAGCAGTTGAGGAATGGCAGCAATCACAGCCCGCACATACTCGGTGGCGTCATGTTCTTGCGATGTGGAGGCTCCATCGTCTCGTCGCGGGTTCGGGTACCGTCGAGGAGGGTCAAGTGGTGTAGTCACCGAGGGAGGTTGGAGAGTGAAAAGGAAACAAGAATAATACCGAAAATATGACGAATCCAGGTCAAAGGAACTTCCCCATCTTTCGGTGAGGGAAATATGCGGAGGACAGGCCGCAAACGTGGTCATTGGCCGGTTCGGGTTCCGCCTTTTTGGCTTCTTGCCACCCATAGCAGAGGTTGGCGATGTCTCGGCTCATTTCCGAGTCCATCGCTTTGTGCCTAATTTAGAAACACTAAGCAGACTGACAGCTTGGCGCTCGGCGATAATATGGCCTTCGGTCGCGACAAAATCATGGACTGCGGGGATGAGGAACTATACATTCAGCCCGCAATCTACTATGACTTCATTGTGCAGCGACCGGCAACTCTCGCAATGCTAATTCCTCAAGTCAACACATACCTGGAATATACCAATATTTCGACATTAGTTTCGCCCGATCGCTTTGAATCCCTTGCTTATTTTTTTTATCAACACCAATTAATTTCCAGTGTTTGAACTGAGCTAAAGTCATTGCCAAACGATACTACACACAGAAAGCCCATCACATGAACCATGCACACCCTATACAGCCCGATCTAAGGACGATCACCTTGCTTACAATCTTAGCACGATTCACGGGTAGTTAGCTGCAGGGATATGGTATCTGGCTGAATCTAAGCGGGTTATGCATCTGAATAACGGGGATATAAACATGGCGTCTCCTTCTTTCGCCTCACAAGTCACCTACGCGTTCCAGATCGCATACTCGAACTACAGCAACCGAACTGGGACACTGCGAGCGCAATGGGCTACGTTGCGCCTTCAATGACGCCGACGTCAGGCTCGCCTTCCTTCCGCGTCTACGAGGTTGATCCCGTCACGTTCGGGATTATGCATTTCACACAGTACATCGCGAACATCAGCGACGCCTCGTATCAAATCGAACCCAAATGGGAGCCCTACTACTCCGCCAAAAAGGCTTATGGGTCCAAGTTATCAACCCCCGTCCAAGACCCCAGCGCCGAAATTACGCCAGCCTCCTGACATAATGTCACCAACGCCATGGAGCAGGATGCTTCAGTTTTCCAAGCTTTCTGGGCTTGACGTACTCGCGGGACTAATGTGGCCAACTGTACCGGCGACTGCATAACGAACGAGATCTGCGCGCTTCGCGGTGCAGATGCGCAGTGTAATTGTGCCGCCCCGACCGACAGTGGGATTAAGTTTCGCAAGCGTGATGTGATGATGAGCGAGCCTTTGTTGCGGGAAGAGAAGTTACGTCCTGAGCGCAATCATGCTGGAATGGGACCGTTGCTGTCGGAGATTGTGTATTAGGCTGCTCTGGAGAAGGAAAAAAAGGCTGAAACTAGCTAAAATGTGGGCTGATTCTTGCGCAAGATTCGTGTTTTCGAAGCGTGTATCTTTTTTTTCTCGAGCGGGACTGACTACCCATGGCAAATTGTATGAAAATGCAGCGTATCAATATGTGAAAGAGAAGTCTAGCACATAAGCAAGCCCATACGACCACACGGTGTGGAGAACACGGCTGTCCGTTATCTCTGCCGCAATGACGCCGTGTGTTAGCAGTGCTGAGCATGTTACGAAGGTTGAACAGGTTGCAGTCTGAGCTAGAATGTGGGGACATATCGTTAGCGGCGTTCACCTGCTTTTTGAATTCGTCAGATAATTAGTCTTTGCCACCCTATTGTCAAACATTCCCTTCACTTAAACAACCTCCCGAACCAATCGCAATATGCGGAATAAAGAATTTACAAAAAACATGCTCCCACGCAGATTTGAACTGCGAACCTCGAAGGTGGTAATGCATGTAAATTCCCGCAAAGGATGATTACATAAGCTTCGCGCTCTAACCAATTGAGCTATAGGAGCACTTTGCCACCATAAACAGTTTGCGACACCTACTTCCTATTTCTCCCGTAGTACTGGAATAATTGCGACAGGAACGAAAATTAATGTTGAGTGAGTGGTGCTACCATAAGCCAATTTGAACCAAAGAGAAGGAAGGGGGGGGGGGGGGGGGGGGTAAGAGGGGGACTAATAGATCTCCATGTTGAACAGGTCCAAAGTGAACTGTAAACATATGTGCTCCCAACTACCCCATCACCCAGGGTTGACTAGACTACATACTGTTGCTGGGTTTCTCTGAGGGTAGGCTTTACACTAATTAAGTGACTACTGTTCCATAATCTCCTGTTTTATTTTATTTTATTATTATTTTTTTTACCTTTTTTGCTCCTGCCGTCCAGTTTCAACTCGAATCCTCTCCTGTAACCGCCGAGAAACTGCTCCTACAAACATTCAGACGGGGGACCGGGGTCACCAGCCGGGGTTAGCGTTGCACTCAGCTAGCTCGCCAAGAACTGCGGGCTATCTGTGCCAACCTATCAAACTGACAAGATAAGGCATGCACCGCAAAACATTTAAATCTTCTTCTATTCAACACCATACGTCCGCTGGAGTCCGGTGCCATGCAGCCCAAATCCCCGCCAACTTAACGGAATTAATGGTGGTAGTGTAGCCGACCCGATGTGTCTATTGATACTGACCACTTATATGTCCTCGTGCGTCATTCACAGCACGCTTCGAACGATTCTCCTGTGCTGTAACGTCGCAAAGCGTAATAGATCTGGAGCGGGGTTCAATGTTGATCTATTTCGCCCTAAAACAATCGAATGTAACTGAATATCCACCTATAATAATCTCAGTGAACATATATATGATCACAACTATGCCACAGCAAGGACCTTGTGAGAATCTATCCCCCTACCCCGGCGAAGTACTCTGAAAGCTTCTAACCAACATACTCAAGAGTATTATACCACGAAAGCGATTCCCTACAATGGCACCTCTATCCAAGGTCGCTCTGGTCGTGTTTGGGACCGTGAAAGGGGTGGCTGCATGGGGCGCATTAGGCCACGCAACCGTTGCTTATGTTGCCCAGAATTATGTTTCTTCAGACGTGGCATCGTGGTAAGTGATGACAATAAACTTCAGAGCAACGATAGCGTTTCTGGATAGCAAATTCCCTGCTTCCATACTTGATGCTAATAGATTTCAAGGGCACAAGGCGTCCTCGGTGACTCATCCAGCTCCTACCTAGCCAATATTGCCTCTTGGGCCGACGACTATCGCGAAACAACTGCCGGCAAATGGTCAGCACCATTGCACTTTATTGATGCTGAGGATAACCCCCCGTCGAGCTGCAATGTGGACTACGATCGCGACTGTGGTAATTCGGGCTGCTCAGTTTCTGCCATCGCCAACTATACGCAACGTGTAGGTGACGGCCGACTTAGCGATGCCAACGTCGCTGAGGCTCTCCGATTCCTTGTACACTTTATCGGTGATGTAACTCAGCCGCTGCATGATGAGGCTTACGAGGTCGGAGGAAACGATATTGAAGTCACCTTCAACGGCTATAAGGACAATCTCCATTCTGATTGGGACACATACATGCCCGAGCAGTTGATTGGTGGCAGTTCGCTGTCGGATGCACAGTCGTGGGCTAAGACATTGACTACTGAGATCAATTCAGGCAGCTATAAATCCCAGGCTGCAAGCTGGATTGAAGGAGACAGCGTCAGTGATGCCGTTACCACAGCCACTCGTTGGGCGTCGGACGCCAATGCCTTTGTCTGCAGTGTCGTCATGCCGAACGGAGCTGCTGCCTTGCAGACTGGAGATCTCTATCCGACGTATTACAATTCCGCCATCGGCACCATCGAGCTTCAAATTGCAAAGGGTGGCTACCGTTTAGCAAACTGGCTCAACATGGTCTATAAATCAGAGATTGCCAAGCGAGATCTCGAAGGCTCTGACTTGAAGACCCGAGACACAGCTCCTGATTTGGACCTTCTTGGTCGCGAGTTTCTACCAGAGCCCCGTCCGCTGAGTCGTGCCAAACTAGCTAGAGCGGCCATGGAAGGATCGTGCTGTGGCTCCAGGAAGCATGATCACTGAAGATTGATTTAGCTATTGAATGGCGACTACCGATGTATAAACGGGGATAACGGTTGATCATCCAAGTTTGAATCCATTATAAGCTTGCTGCAAGCATAGATTGTAAAGAGGCCAATGAGATGCACGATATAGGAAGGGAGTTTTAGAGCGGATAACCCTCAAAGCCTCTGCCTCACGAAACCATTTGAATCGCATAATTCGACTAAAGCCCTATCATCCACACATAAACTTAAATCAGAGAGAAAAAGACAGAGAGAGTGAGCCAGTGAAGTGCACTGTCTACCAAGTATCCTAAGTCATATTGTAGGCGAGGGAACGGAAATACATAAAAAGGTATAGTCTCTTCCAAGTGTAAAAGGTAGTAACCTTCTTCAAGAAACCATATCTAACATAAAATCTATGAAAGCAATTTGAACCCCCACAGCCTATCGGTTTGCTTCAAGTGAGCGTATTGCCGTCGAGGCGCTGCTTGGACAAGGATTATTATTCGGGTCTTTGAATTCTCCTCGCGCGCGCGGGGTCCTTCCCCCTTCACCGAGCATCTCTTTCTTGTCTGTACCTCTAGTACTCTAGCCAACATGCTTACCAAAGACTGTCTTCCTCTGCTTGACCTGGATGAAATGCAGAACCCTGCGACAATCTTAAGTCTAAGACTTGCTCTTCTCAAGTACGGCGCTTTTCGCTTACGGGCCCCCGAACTCAATAAGGCCTTCACTCAAGGGATATTGTACAATGTAAGCCTCTATTTCAGTCTTTTCGAGTCGAACTTACTTTTTCTAGGCCCAGAGCTTCTTCCAGCTTCCAAAGGAAATAAAACACTCAACCGGAGGTTACTCGGCATTTGGCACAGAGCTTATTCGTGGCGAGACCCCAATACCTAAGGAAAGTATATATTTTAGGAAGAAGGAGCAGGAAAATCGGATCCATCCTCCTTCAGATCTTTACCTAAACATCGGAGCATTGCACGATGTAGGAAACGCCACCCCACCCCTTCCCTAAACTGTACTACTACTAATCAAATCTACAAGCTGAAGGAGTGGAGGCATTTGCGTGGCGAGCTTTTCCGTGTCTTATCTCGTGACATCCTCAACTCCGATATACCTTTGACCGGAAATCCCATACTTGACCATGAGTCAATAGGTCTACACTACTATGACCCTCAAAAAATGTCTTTTGAGACCGATTACATTCCTCCGCATATGGATGCCGGCACCCTAACGATATTAGTTCGGTATCCTGGAGATCACGATGGCTTAGGAGTGGCCGACCTCGATTCTACCGATAAGCGTGGCAGCGAAGGCGTGGGACAGGAGGCGTCCTTTTTGCGTATTCCTGCCGCTCTGGATGAAGTTGTTGTATTTGCTGGAACTCGAATGCAGCGTCTCTTTGGAAGAAGTAAAGTCCGCGCCTGCGTGCATCGGGTTTGCGGTCCTTCCCAAGCAGATAAACACCCGAGACTAAGTCTCGGAATTTTCTGTGCTGCTCCTGCAGTTTGAATGGGCAGCTATTTCTGCTTCAACAAGATATCTTATGAACTACGGATATTAGGCTAGAAACACCACAGCCAAATACGAACTGTGTTTAATTCTTCAGCCAAGACTTACATACATAATTGCGAATTGGCCACCGTATCCATTAAGGAATGCGACCCATTTCCCCTTCTCGGTTGGCGTTGCTGGCGCCGGCTCGGCCTGATTCTCGGCGTTGATGCGGGGCTAAAATCAGCCAGACGGCCAGTTCATTGGATCAATTTTCGAGTCGATTGGCTAGACCAAGTTCGCCATTCGCACAGCCAAATACCGGGGGTCTTGTTCTGCGGATATTCTCATCTTTAGTTTCCCCAGAAAAAGAAACCTGCCGAATGGTTGTTGTGTGGGAGAGGCAACTATCAGCCCGGCAAATTCCCCCACAAATTCCCCCGCATTTTTATTCTACGGCTGGGATTGGGTTCTTATACTCAAAGAATGTGACACCACAAAACATATAAGAATGTGTCGCTTACCCAAAGCAACATTAACGAGTCATTACCACCTATAACTCGAATTGAATCAACATCGTGCCCGCTCATCATGGGAAATAATGTGTGCATCGACTCGACAGAGCCTGTTTCTCAGCTTGACATGGAGAAAGGGAATACTCTAGATATGGGTAATGGCAAGGTGGACGATGATCTCAACCGCGAGATGGCCAACCGTGGCACGGCCACCGAGCATGAACTCGGATACTGGGAAGCCTTCGTCATTTATCGCAAGGGTGCGCTATGGTCCATGTTCATCTCCTTATCCATCATCATGCGCGCCTACGACATTGAGATCACGGGCAATTTCTATGCTCTACCAGCATTCCAACAGCACTTCGGCGTCTATTATGAAGGCCACGGCTGGCAGATCCCTGCTAAGTGGCAGGTCGCCTTGTCCATGGGGTCGCTTGTTGGGCAGATCGTCGGTGCTTACTTGGTAACTTTTCCGATGGAACGGATAGGACGAAAGAAAACCTTTGCAGTCTCCCTTTGTTTGACGGCCGTCTTGACGTTTATGCAATTCTTTGCGTCCAACATTGGCGTTCTGACTGCGTCGCAGTATCTCTCCGGAATTATCTGGGGCAGCTACTGTGTGATTGCCACAACATACGCCTCGGAGGTGCTTCCGATGCGTTTGCGAGGTTTTTTGACGGGATATATTAATTTATGCTATGTTATGGGCCAGTTCATTCAGACTGGTGTGACCCGGGGTTTCATCTCGCGAACAGACGAATGGGCCTATCGCATCCCGTTCGCCATCCAGTGGATATGGCCTGTAGTTTTGCTAGCAGGCCTAGGATTTGCTCCAGAGTCACCCTGGTGGTTAATCCGAGAGGGACGCATGGAGGATGCCCTGAAATCTCTGGGAAGTCTCAGCGAGCCTCATCCTAAAGTGGACCCGCAGGAAACATTAGCCATGATGGTCAAAACCAACATGCTTGAGCACCAGTTGGATGTTGGTACGACATATTCCGACTGCTGGAAAGGATCAAATCGCCGCCGCATGGAGATATGCATCATGCTTTTTGTCATACAAAACTTCTCGGGCAATCCTGTCGGCTTCGGGACGTATCTGTTTGAACAAACCGGTCTAAACAGTATCCAGTCATTTGACATGGGCGTTGGTCTGAATGGCATGGGCTTCGTTGGCACTTTGATGTCTGCCATTCCTCTAATTTACTTTGGTCGGCGCCCCTGCTATATCTTCGCCATGGCCTCCATTGTGTCGATTCTGTTCATTGTCGCCATCATGTGCTTCGCACACGATTACTCCACCAACCATGCTTATGCATGGGCTCAGGCAGTACTGCTAGTGATCCTTGCCTTTGTGTGGCAGATGACCCTGGGTCCGCTGACATATGTCATTGTCTGCGAGACACCGTCCACAAAGCTACGATCTAAAACCATCGCCATGGCTACGATGATCGACGCACTTACCGGCTTGGTCACTACGGTTATCGGGCCATATCTACTGAATCCCGGGGCGGCGAACGCGGGTGCCAAGATAGAATTCCTTTATGCTGGCATTTCTGTCTTCTCGTTAACTTGGTGCTATTTCAGGTTACCTGAAACAAAATCTCGGACATACGAGGAGCTGGATCTTATGTTTGAGAGAAAAGTGCCAGCGAGGGAGTTTAAGAGCTATGTCATTGGGGATTTGGACGAGTAATTTGCTAACCCGCTTCGGACAATTTACGGGCATGAGTAGCTATGATTTGCATATTTGAGACTCTATTTGTATAGTTCTGTTGAACTTTCGTGTGCTGCCTTTCAAAAATTTGAGCTGTATTTTTCAATAGCACCATTTCTCTTTATATAAATCGGTTTTCTATAAATGTGCAATCATAATGCGGCCACTGAGTCTGAGGGTATAAAATAACATTCGTCAAATCATATACCAATTCCGCTGAAAATATGGTCTATATTGTCACAAAAGCCACAGTGAGCTGTCAGCCTCACTCTGTACATAAGTTCCACTTCACTTCTGACGATAGATCAGTAGTAATCATTCCACCGGGAAAATGCTGTCTCCACTACATGAAACCAGCGCCGCGGAATCCGCAGTTGAAAAAGGCGAAAATTCAATCGGAAGGCTATTATTGATTTCATTTTGGAAAGTCACAGCGTCTTCCACAGAGTCTGCTTCATTTCCCAGCACTGGTGGTATTGAAGTCCATTCGAAAACCCGGTCAAGTTTTTGTATAAGTGTATCACGCAGTTCTGGGTTCGTGGCAGCAGTCGAGAATAACAGATCACTTAGGCCCTTGAGTGTCTCGCGTGGTCCCACTACCATCCCACATGAATCTTCAACCGGCTCCTGGCATAGTATGGAGTCCGCTAGCGCGTCCGTGATTTCGTATATTTTACTCTCCATGCCCGGTCCATGGACCTCAAATGCCGAGGTTGGGAGGAGTTCCAAACCGGACAGAGCATCCTGTGCAATCCGTACTGGATATGAAACACTCATCTCTCTGCGACCCGGTTGCGCCTGAGCGGCGACATAGCCAGATTGGATGGATAGCTTCCAGATAAGGGAACGGATCCAGTGCTGCGTGGCAACAATGTCGACTTTCTGGATATCATTGGCACACTGGGGAATCTCTGCTGGGAGTTCCAGCTCCCGCTGGATAAGGAGAAGTTGCTTGCTACTTAAGGAAACACTGGTGCCCTGTGCAGTCCACTTGTTGAAGAAGTCGCTGCCAGGGGTATGGAACAGAGTGACTAGGTTGAGGAAGCCTGTTACCAAGTCTGGGTAGTCCTCGTTGTCTGTCAATGGCAATGCAATTGGTTCCAAGACGGTAGGTAGTCCGTAGCGGATGCACAGAAACCTTTCCGTCATCAAGAGAAGGAAGTACAATTTGCGCATGACCTGCCGCTCTCGGGGAGTCCATTGTGGTTGTAAATAGGTCGTCTCGATGTGCATGTCCAAAAGGTTGGCGAAAGTGATGGCTTCTCGAATATAGAATGCGGCGGTCTGCTCGCGTCCCGGCCGACGCCCGTAGTAGATGTGGAGAAAGTAGGAGGTGAGCACGGAGTTAAGAGTAACATGCTCCATGTAATCGAAGGCCCCTCGCAAACGTCGGGCTTGTTGAGCAAATGAGTCGGCCGTTAGCATTTGAGGTAGAGTTGGGTCCTTGCATTCAGAGTCATCGTAGACGGTCTGGTTCAGATGGGACAATGTAGCTCCACAGATTGCAGCTGCCAGTGTATGGGTCTCCGGATTATGGGGATCTCTCTCTATCTGAGCGATAAGCTCCTCTGCATTCAATAGAGGCCATATCCCGTATAGGTGGTCTTGGTAAATGCGTAGCACGCGTGTTAATGCCGACAGTGTGACCTGCACCGGAAGGGGTGGAGCCATCCAAGCATGAAGTGCTGATGGACTCGGACTCGGAAAATCAAGTTGTTGCTGTTTTTGTTGCTGTTGTTCTTGGTGGCATGCTGACGACGATCTCTGGTGATCCTCGATCTTGGCTAGTGATGAGGGTCTCAAGCGGTTTGGACCGCTCTTTCGGCGTGTGCGAAGGTAAGTGCATTGCAGATCATGCTGCGAACAACGGTGGCACGGCTGCTGGCCGTTACATTTGACCTTGCGGATGTTACAGCAGTCGCAAGCGCGCTTTGGCGGCATATTGATAAGGGTTGTTGAAGGATGGAAAAAGGACACGGAAATCCGGTGGCAACCTCGGTCATCCCTGAACTGAACTAAACACAAAATGCAATTTTGGTTGGAATTAGGATTCCGTCCGTGCGTGCGTGCGGGGTGGCTCGCACCGTGGCTTTTAAATCAAACAAAAGTCTAGGCATCTATTTAGAGAGGCTGTAGATAACTATTATATCAGTGTCTAGGAATAGATTTCTATTGTGGCTGGTACTAATGGTTCTTTGTCGCAACAGGGCGCCATAGAGACTCTGGCAAATCCGTCTCGTCGATATCGAAAATATGCGGCAGGACGGTAGGCAAATTCTCTGGTCGCAGAGGAGGAAACGATTCGCGGATAGTGCGAAGGAGTAGCTTATAGTAAATGTGATATCCCTGGCCAGAGAAATGCACTCCATCCGGCGCAAGAAGATCGGTCAAGTTATTTGTCCCGTTCGCGTCGACGCTCTCTTTGCCGCTTTTGCGGCCGTCGCTGTTGGACGATGATCTGGTGTACGTATGGAATGCAGTCCACAAATCCACAAACGGCACATCATGTTCTTGCGCGACGTGCTTCACAGCCTGCGAGTATGTCCTGTTCGTTTCGTTGGAGCGATCCAGAACGTCTTTCCCAACGAGAGCTGGCCCAACCAAGATCACGTTGATACCACGATCTAGTGCCTTGATCGTCAGAAATCGCACATTCTCAGCATAGCGTTGCATAGGAATATGCTGCCGAGTATTTGCAGCTTCGACCGCATCGTTGGTTCCGAAGAAGATCACTAGTAACCTGATTCGACTGCCCCCAGCTGTTTCGGCGTCGAGCATGGGTTCCAGAATATGTCGTGCATGTTCACTATTATAGCCCCCATAGCCATGCGTAACGATTTGTAACTTGCGAAAATACTCATGTTGCAATGCTGGCGAGATATTGAAGAGGAATTCTTGGTTCCAGCTTTGTTCGGTCAGGGAGTCGCCGAAGAGGATGATTTTATCGGACGTGAGGGGGTTTGGGTGAGCCATGGTTGTACAATGGGTAGGAATACAGAGAATTAGACTCTCACACACCATAAAAAGGAGAGCAGATGAATAAGCCTGGTCGCTGAGATAAAAGAGTGGGCGGACGCCTCTACTAAACTAAGGTCAAGAAACGATCGGTGCCGGCGAGATTCTCGGCAGAACACTATGGTACGAATCTAGGGTATCTTCGCATTTATCCGATCCAGAAAAATGATTGAGGCCTGAAAATGAACTACCAAATAAATGAGTTGGGACTTTCTGCGAATGATATTCTATAAATATAACAAAAGAGAGAGAGAGAAAGAAAAATTAAATAAGTAATCACGAGAAACCAATCTCAACAGTGTAGTAATCTCTACCAAGAGAACATCTCCCTGTGTTCAGATTTACCAGTACAAGGTACAACTCCTCTGACTGGCGTGCCGTAGTGAAAGGGAATTCTTTTCCGTCCAGGGAAACTCGAAGGTCTTTTTCCACGTTTCCACTTTCGGATATCAAAAACCCGAGAGTTCCTTGATAGCGAATCTTTACAGAAAGTTGGGTGCCTAAAGCTTCCAAATTTGCAATGACAACCAGTCCGGCGTACTTGTCGATCAGGCCAAGGCAAGCTATCGCACCCTCTCCGACAGCATGAAATGGGGCAATGCTAAGGATCTCCACGGCCTTCGGGGGTAGGCGGATTGCTAGCACAGGCTGCAATTTGTTCTCACTGGTAGAAGCGTCCACAGTCAACAAACTGGCTTTTGCAGCATCGGAAGCCCAAAATGCCATGTCGATGTTTTTGGACCCAGCGGGCAGGTCTAAGGCGTCGAGTATATCTTCCGAGTAGATGATATCAACAGCGTCATCCTGAGCTTCCGCGCGGCAGTTCCAGAGCACAATGTTCGCAGAATGGCAGCTGGGGATGTAGGAAGATCCCTTCAGCGCAGGACCGACTCCCGTATCCAAAAATCGTTCCCAAACATTCCGACGCAGCGGTCTAATCGCATTCTCAGTTTTGATCACTTCGTGTGTCCCAGAAGCGGGAGAGAGGCCGATAAGTTTCTCGAGGATGTGGGGATCGTATGATCCTGGTTTGTCCGCCGCAAGTACTGGGCCGTCGAAGAAGGCACGCAGTGTGGCATGGTACTCTGGCCACTGAGCATTGGTCATGAACATATCCGCATCTGGGACTATGCATAAATTGCTCGTAAGAAGGGCGTTGTAGATGTTATGCCGGATATGGTCGCGGTGAACGTTGGGACGAGGAAGGCCAAAATCATCTGAGTTTCTGAACACGATCTTCTTCCCATTAGTCGCTGCTCCCAGACCAACATCTCCGTTGAACATCCGTTCGTAGTGTGCCATGCAGTGGATGACACGGTTTTCACCGAATACCTCGTTCGCCGCCTTGGTCATTCCGTCCCAAATGGCAACGAACTCCTCCCCTCCTTCAACGTCCTCCAGAAAGCTGCCGTAGGCTTGATTGTCCACCTTGACAAATGATACACCAGCGGTGGCGCATGATGAGAAGTAATCTTTCCAAAAGTCGTACGCTCGGTGTTTAGGAGGAAGGCAGTACACCCGATATTTGGGGTCCGCGATGGAACAAGTCTGGTGGGTATCAAATCCGCCGAGAGGCTGCGGAATTCCCGGCAAGTTGTTTGGATTTAGGCGAAAAGTACGCATCTCGTATTTCTTTGCTAGAGGGGAGTCGGGGGCGACAGAATTCCAGTATCCGTAGAGCGTCATCCATACACCCACATCTTGTACCGTCGGCAGGGTGTCCTTGACCAATTCCACAACCTCTGAGAGATTGCAGCCCATTCCAGGCCATGTACCAAAGGTCCAGAGGCCACGCGAGGTGTCTGCACCATTTCCACCAGTGCGGATATCTTGCCAACCGTCATCAATGATGAAAGTACCGATGGGAACCTTGTCTTGCCGCAGTGACCGCACAAGGTTTTTCATCAAGTCATAGGTAAGCGGTACATTCTCCCCAATGCTGGACCAAGTACAGAATCCAAGGCGGTTAAAAGGGTTTTTGCCATCGGTGTCGGTCTGGAAAGGTGCGGTTGATAGACCGTACTTGTCGCGCGCCAGATCGATGGCTTCCCGAATGATCGTGACTGGGTTTGGTTTGTGCCCAATCTTTCCGGTGACAAATACATCAACATTTCCGCCTTTCTTGACACGTCTCACCCGAGCATAGATCCCGGGGGGTTCATCAGCGCGAGCGGCGCTTAAAGTGGCAAATGCTTCACTCGATGAGGCAGGGAACACGGCAAACACCGACTGTGGGTCGTTGGCTGGGGTTGTGGGACGCAGTAAAAGTGAGTGAGTCGTGACCTGTGGAGACAGCTCGCGCAAGGAAGTGAATGATGCCTCGATCCAAGTGTCGCGCGGGCGATACCAGGCCCATCCTTCCCACTGGTCCTGATCCAGCCACTCAAGTCGTTGACTTTTGAAATCCTCCCTTTCATCCAGGTGTACCTTAGTACAGAAATCCCGTTCTGGCGCTTTGGATACTGTAGATCGCACGAGGGAAATTGTGCCCAGGTGTTGTCGTCCGCCATTCCCGTGCTCGAAGACGGAAACCTCCCTAGCGCCGCAGGAAGTTGCATTCAAGGACACCTGGTAGACTTGGAGCTCGCCCAGGGCTAACACATCTTCAATCCTCTTCAGTGGTGAAATGTCGTCGCCAATCTGGACGAAAAGTTCTACAGACCGTGTGCTAGCCGCTGTGAGGATGAGAGAGGAGCTCCCAGCGGACATAAACACGGTCCCGCCCAGTGGAGGCGTAAATACGATCGAGCCGAAATCCGAGGCCATGGTTAAATGATCCAGTAGAACATAATACTACGTATGTAGATAGGTGGATTTACGGACATTTATAGTATTTCACAATTCGCGTTTTGGTGACGGCTGACATGAGGACCTAAGGAAGAGACACCGAGAATTGCTCCGCCATCCAAACCCACGTGGGGATCGAAACGATCTTTCTTCCGGCCTAATAATTTGGGGCCAGGTTCGGAAACCCTGAAGTATTGCCAGCTGATTAGGATTAAGTAAATCTAAGTGGTCAAACGCACTCGGTCCTACCAGGTCAGATTGCGTCGGCCAGAAGACTTCGCAAGGATAAGTTTGCAGGGCCGAACAGAATCTCAACCAACCTGCTTCATTCAGGTATTTACGTTCTTAAAGTCTCTCCATAGCGAGCTATTGCCAACTTGTATTGTAGTATTTCTTTACCATGGAGAGGTAAATTATGGTCGACTTACAAATTCGCGTAATTAAATCAGGGTCGATTATAGATGGTTTATAGATGGGAATGAGCCTTGTGCAAACGACTTCTGCGTCAGACTCGTTTTAAATAAGCGTCCCTATCAGCCCTCTAGATAGAGCAACTGAGACTCTCCCTCGTCTAGATATGCTGTGAAAGAACGCGATACTGTGCTCGAGTTACCATTCCAGACATCTGTAAACTTCCATCGTTTTCCAGAAATTCCAAGCTCATTCAGTGAGATGGTCACCTCCTGGATTCCTGACAGCGAAGTATTAAATCCGCCGGAGCCCTGATCCGGTCCGTAGTTGACAAGCAATACATATGAATTGGATGCGTCGTCTGGTCCTCCGATCCAAGCCTGCGCCTGCTGCGCCAAGTTGTTCCCCGTACCTGGATTTCGAGGTTGCATAGGATAATTGGCGGCAAAATTGGCGAATGAAACGCTCTGACTGCTCGTGAGCAGCTTGGTACCCAGTGCATCAATGTGACGGAGATCGCAACCGAGAACCAAATTTGCACCAGCACCAAGCCAGTGGTTCATGATCGTGACTCGCTGTGTGTCCCTCACACCTGTCAGGTTCTGAGGGTTGCAGACGAATAGATTGTCCATGTCTGGGTATATCGTTATTGGCACATTACGTTCCTTCTGCAGCGAGATGTATTGCCGGTAGTTGTCAATGGCCCGCTGGACGACCTGCCATGCAAGGAAGGTATTTGTACCGTAGTTGTCGATATCCTGGTCTGTTCTCATCGACTCGGCGAAGGAGCTCCAGAGTGGCAGGTATGTTTCATTGCGGCACAGCTTCCACGAAAGATCCAGACGAACCTGTTGGCCAGAGTTGGCGATCGCTTTGTGATATACTTCCACCGCGGCGCTGTTGTTGCAGACCAGGTTTGCGCCATTCCACGGGCTTCCTGGTGTGAGGAAATCGAGCTTGATCATGTCAATCCCCCATGATGTCCAGAGCTCTATCAGAGAATCATGCCACTGCTGCACGCCGTCCTTGGAAAAGTCCCAGTCACAGTAGTCAAGCCCATCGTTGTTACCGTTTAGTACATCGCCGATAAGAATGTTCGTCCCCTTGATCGTACGGTTGGCCCCACCACAGGGAACTCCTGGGATTACGTAGACGCCCAGCTTCAAACCCATTGCGTGGAGTTTCTGCGCCAACTGAGGTAGGTCAAAGGCCGTACTGTTGTACTGGATCCTCCCGTAGTCATCGACATCGTTTGTGGACCAGCCCGCATCCAAGCTGCACAAGTCGTAGCCCATGTTTTGGAACTCAGGCCTTGAGAGTACGGTGCATTGGTCCAGGACACTCTGTTGATTTGCTCCTGTCCAACCCGGAATTATCGACGGGTCGGAGAGAGCCTCGATACCCCATGAATTCCATCCCCGGCCAGATGAGGTAAAGCCGTTGGCAGTCTTTGCACTGCGGAGAACCTGTAATGGCCCAGAGTTGGGCGCAGGCTGGGGATAACAGCCATCTACAACTGTGTCAGTCCGATCTTGAATGCAAAAGCCCGGTCCAGTTGTATCAATTGTTCCATCCTGAGAGTAACAATCGGACTCCGCAGCCATCCAAAACCATTGGCCATCACTGCCATCATCCCATGTTCCTGTGGTCCATCCATCAAGCAGACAAAAATCGAGAATATCTTCAAAGGCACTTGTATAGTCGCTGTTGCTACCGCCAGATGCCTGTTGCTGCATGTAGAGATTTCCTGCAGCGCCTTGGCAATTGACCTGGCTGGCGTTGGCGGCGAATTGGCTGATGCAGTTCTCCACGGCGTCGTGGCATTCCTTCGTAAATTTGACCGACCCAGGCATATAGCTGGTCCCGCCGCAGTTCCATTGAGCCACAACTTGTGGGACAACCGAAGTGATCCCAATCAGAATGATCGCGAACATAGTTGAGTTTCTTAATTTTCCTCAGATCGATTGAGCTGGGATTACGGTGCTGATCTAGTGAATTGCCCCCACAGCAGTTGTTTATACATGTTTCTGAAGCGCCGCTCTGTTAGGTTTCAGACGGTGAGATTCCCGGTCCAACTACTCACATTCTCCGCGTTGTGTAGTATCCGCAGGTCCCGGAGGGTCCTGCAGAGACTAAGTCCGGGTAAGGTACTTGCAAAAGTTATTTACCCTATTTTCCGTCTCATGCGGGGTAGCTCCCCCCGGATTCTTGGCCGGGGCGAATTTCGGTCAATGTTTCGATGATCAGCAGTCCAACTAATTGGGTCCAGTACAGTAGTCCGAGAGTCATGCCGAATGTCTCAACTTGAAATGAGGCACAGCAGAAGCGAGAGAGAAATGTGTACTATGTTGTACTAGACACACGACTGAGAACATCTCTTCTTGGTTATACTACAGCTAACATCTAATAGGCAATAGAATTGGCTCCAATTGATGTTCAAACTTCAAAATGGCATTTGATCAACCCTTCTAAAAGGCACGGTGAGCTGGTTCCAGTTCACAAGTGGCTCTGTTTAACAGGAGATCAGTTGCGCAAGTTCACTGAAACATTGAACCTGAGATTCCCGACGGGCCTTGATCTCTCTGGTTTGAACGCAATAAATGACAAGCCTGACCATTCGTCGGTATATATTATCTTGCATACCTCTGTTCCTGTCTCAGGTCATGGTTTCTCCTTTATGATCGGTCGGCACAATGAGCTCGTCTGTCCTGCGGCGGCGCTCATTGCCGGACAATTCGTTGGCAAAGCTCTCGCCGATCTGACAGTTGATTTGGTTGCAACTTGGCGACGTCTCGTCTCATACTCACAGGTCCGACGCAAAACATTATCGAGCGGTTCGTGTCAGGTACATTATTCCGGAATAATGTGTATTCCGAGAAAACCTTGTCACAGAAACGTAGGCAGTATTTTTACGACACGGGGGAAAGATATGATGATGCCACCCTCAGCTCTCTGGCAGTTGGCCAAACGAATAGAATCTATAGACCATGGAGCTGCGGCTCCAGCGATGGCATTTTCGGTGCGATGAAGTCACTCAGTAATAAAATCCCTGATTACCAAAAAAACACGCGTGAACAACGTCTGCTGGCTTAAAGTCTTGGTGTGTTAAAATTCTATTTGCCAAATTGTGAGAAGAAGATTTCATTGTTGCCGCATCACATAAAGATGGGCTATCCCCACATTTAACTTGACCCAATCTACCTAGTGCAACCGGGCAAATGCCTCTACAAACCCGCTCCACTAACTTCGCCGGGAGTTCCGACCACTCCCCGCCCGCTCCCCGCCCAGCATAGGGGTTAAGTCGGAGACGCAGCAACCCTACCCCACGCTCTCTTGAGTTGTTTGATGCGAAAATGGCCCACGTATCTGATGATTCGGCCCAGGATATTACGCAGGCACCGGCTTCCAAGCGACGTCGCGTAGCTGTCGCCTGTGACGCTTGCCGGACGCGCAAATCCCGATGTGACGGCAACCGGCCGCTCTGCTCCTTGTGCCGGGATTTGGGCTTCGAGTGTATCTACACACCGCCGACGACCGCCACAAATGTAATTGTGCAGAAAGATTACCTGCATGGGCTGGAGGACCGGGTAAGGAAGCTTGAGGACTCGCTGTCCACTGTCAAAGATGATATTGCTGGATTGTTCACGAAAGTGGATCGGGGCCCTGGGCAAGTATTACAAACGAGTGGATATGAGCAGGGTCAAAGAGTTGTTGCCGGTCCTGTGCCTGACTTGACGGGCACGGAGGACTCGGTGGATGCTATGGGAGCGGTTACCTTTGCAAATGAGGAGGATTCGGGATTTTTTGGTATGTGCAAATTCTTTCAGATGTTTCTCTTAGCTTACCCCATTGTAGGTCCATCTTCAAATATCGCATTTCTGCGGCATCTATCCCGTGCAGTTGTTCAGCAGGGATACCTCATGTCCCCTAGCGCGGCGGACGGGGGCTTCGTGAGTGCATCGCGACCTCCATCTCCACCAGGTCGAACGAATGGCCGAGACAAACACGCTCAGGTTAATATCTATACGCTGCCTTCTCAGGATGAGACGTTAAAGATAATTTGCCAATACTTTTCTAACACGGGACTGTTATTTCCTTATATATATCCACCTGCTTTTCTAGAGACATACAATCAGATGGCCCGAGATAACTTTACCCATGTACGAAGAACGTGGCTTGGCCTACTGAACATGGTACTAGCCATGGCGACCATTACCGCCGTTCCTGATGGTTCCAAGGCTGATACACGGATCGCTGAGTCCGACGTGTTCTACCAGCGCGGTCTCGGTTTATGTGGGAGTGAGATCTTGCGCGGTGCAACACTGGAGGTTGGTAAGTAGTTTGATAATACACATAGTTTCATGGCAATTACTGACAATTTGCAGTTCAATTTCTACTTTTAATGGGCCAATATCTTCAAGGCACACAAAAGTCCATTCAGGCGTGGACGGTTCATGGGCTAGCTGTGAAAGGAGCTCTTCAACTTGGACTACACGCCCGAAATGCCTCAAAGTCATTTTCACTTCTTGAGCAAGAAACCCGAAAGCGGACTTGGTACGGCTGTGTAGTACTAGATAGGTCAGTGCTTCTCTGACTGATGTTTGACTAGACTAAACAGTGAGAACCACAGGACTCTAAGCATGACATTTGGCAGACCTGCAGCCATTCCTGATAGCTACGTCAAGCTGGATCTGCCAGTCAAGCGTGACTTTGAGAAGCCCTCTGATTTCGTGGAAGATGAAACTTCCGTACTGAGTGTTGCGTTTTTCAATGCCACCATGTGAGTCCAAATCCCCTCTGCCTTTTCCAGTATTTCTGACAGGCAAACAAGCACTCTATATAAAGATCTATGGAATGTTCTGGATCTTCTTTACGGCCAAAACCTTGGCTGTGATCCCTCGCTACCAATCACCGAAGCCGCAGCACACATATTCAGCATGGAACAACATCTCTTTGGCTGGGAAAGGTCTCTAACCCAGCCACTGCAGCTGATTTCCACCACCAGCTTGAACGAAATGGCACAAGGTCAACTATCCAACTACCAGTACTTTTCCTGGAAATTTCGAGTCATTCTCACTTTACGTTATCTCAACCTCCGTGTCTTACTCCATAGGCCGATGCTAGTGAAATTCATCGCAGCAAGTGCAAACCCAGAACGCGATCCCCAGGATCTAAAACTTCTCCAGCAAATTGGCATGAACAGCTTGCAGATCTGCGCCGATTCAGCGATGGCAATCATCGACATCGTCCACCAGGTCGTAACAGAGCGGGGCTGGAAACAGAGTCTCCTAGGGGCGTGGTGGTTCTCGTTATACTATAGTATGCCCTTCTCCCCCTCCTAGGATCAATCAGTGGGTGCTAATGTCTTCTTAAGCTTTTAATGCGGCATTGGTAATTATCGGCACAGTCTGGGTCTACCGTGACGCCAGCATAACCGGCACCCCGGTGACAGCGCAAGCCAGCAAAGCAAAGCAGTACCCCAGCCGGGCCGTTGCGGCTCTGTCCAAACTAGATGAGGGGAATCGCCTTATCGACCGATGCAGGTACTATCTCGAGCAATTTAATAAGGTTCTCAATGATCCTGGTTAGTTTGTCTTCGTTCACGTTGTGCATCCAAAAATGCTAATGCTCGTGTTCAATAGAAACGCACCACGATGTTGCGACTCCATCATTCCACGGGTTCAATGGAAACCGCAATACATCTGCTAATGATTTGTCTTTTTCTCCATTTGGAATGGAGCTCGGTGAGTTTATGATGGATGGAGATCTTGTTGGTATGATGGATCGGCAGGAGATTTTGCCTGAGCCGGGGACATCGTATCCAGCTTGATTTATACCTAAATTGTCTTGGCGTTTGCTTCGGAAAAAATTTAAGAATGTATTTAAACATCGAATGTAGAGCATGATTTAGTAATGAGATATCCAAGCTTCTACACGTATGACAGAATTTCGTAATAATAGCAGACTTCATTAATAGCCGCAAAGAGAAGTATCAGTTTTCCTTCAAACAAATTTCAGCACTACACATAAGATCATCACTCAGTCACAAGCAACTCAGCATCCATCTCCTCTGAACGATAGAATCCCAACGCCTCGATCATTGGCTTATCATCGAACCGATACAGATATACTGGCTCTCCAGCGTCGGCAAAGTGCTGATACTTGTACCACGAAGGAACGCAAAAGGTATCACCCTTCTCCCAAATAAGCTTCTCGTCACCAATAATCGAGTATCCAGTTCCACCAACCGCATGGTACACAGAAGAGGTAGTCTCACGACGGCTAGGTGAGGACTTGCCCGCTGCGAGACGCTCAGCGCAACCGCCAAGGACACGACTCACTAATAACAACAAGTTAGCTTTATATTCACATAGGAAAGAAAAGTCATACCTTCACTATCATCTGCCTTCAAATACCGATGCGTCGCCCAATCCCCAGGAGTACTGTCCAGTCGAACCTTCATCTCAGACCAAGGGAACACCAGTGGAGAAGTGCTACTATCAACATCTTCCGCCGGATACCGTGGCTGATCGAAATGCTCGACAAAGTGTACAGGGAAATGCTTGAAATTGGGCAGATCTAAGCCATCCAGCCAAATCATGGGCCCGGAGCCATCTTTGCCGTGGTCGTGGTAGTTCCACGTCGGCGTCAGGATCACGTCGCCCTGCTGCATCTGGATGCGGCGGCCGTGGACTGCAGTAAATCCGCCATTACCTTCAATGATAAAGCGCATTGCAAAGGCTGTGTGGCGGTGTGCACGAGCGGTTTCATTGGGCATCACTAACTGGAGACCAGCGTAGAGGGTGTCGGTTGTATAGGGAGCATCTGGACGAGTCAGTTTGTGTAGTGCGAATGCAGAGTTTAAATTTACTGACCTCTGGCTGGATTGATTAGCATCAGAACTCGACGTTCGGCCTGCTCCGCCGGGACGAGTTCACCAGCACGCAAAAGGTTCGGTCGGACGTCCTTATACCTCCACACATTGGGTATGGTGGTCGGATTCGGTGCTGGAGGGTTCAGCTTTGTCATTTGCTTCCACAGAGGAAGCGTTTTGCTTGCCTCCAGGTCGGCAAGAAGCTTCTCCTCCGAGTCGGGCGTAGTTGCAACTTGGTCAGTCAAAGACATGCTTGTTATGCTGGAAGAATATCTATGTGCTGTCAATACCTGGCGATCCTTTGGTGATGGCACTTTTATTTTTCATGGAGGGATTTGTCAAGATATAGCCGAACGAGCTACTCACTCGTGGTTGGCAAGAATAATGGGTCGTGGAAGCGTCGGGGAAAGATCGGAATGATCCTGGGAGGGATATCCGGAACATGGTTGCATAAGAAGGATTTAGATCGAGAGTTTGTCAAGGGGCCATACACGCGGGGTACTACGGCCCTTGCTGATAGACACGGATTTGACAACCATCACGATGGCAAATAAAGATCAAGGCGATACACTCAGTTTGGGTCTGAAAGTGAGTGATCCACGTCTAGTCACAAAATGGCGACTAACAAAAGCCAGGCTCCCACACACCCAAGCAACTGCTTGGCCTTTTTGAATCCCCCAGCTGAGACCCCAGTCCAAATGGCCCGGTTGCGCATGCGCATCGTCGTCGTCGGCGCTGGTCTAGGGGGACTTGCAACTGCGATTGCGCTCGCCAGCTCCGGCCACACAGTTACTGTGTACGAACAGGCGCCTGAGCTAGGAGAAGTGAGTCGCATCCCGTGTCGGTGAAGTGTACACCACAACTCACACACAAAATAGGTTGGCGCGGGCATTCAAATCCCGTCTAATTCAACGAAGCTGCTCAAGAAGTTCGGACTCGACCCTTACTTAAAAGACTACATCACCGAGCCAGAGGCGATGGCGTTCCGACGCTGGCAAACGGGCCAAGTAATCGGGTTGACTCGTCTGATCCCCGAGTTTCGAGCCACGTTCGGCGCGCCCTACTATGTCATTCACCGGGCGAATCTTCACTCGGCCTTGCATCGGCGAGCAGTTGATCTGGGAGTGACAGTTAAATTGGCCTCGCGGGTAGTCAGCTACGAAACTCAAGGCCCAAACATCGAGCTTTCGGATGGGTCCTTTGTGTCGGCGGACCTTGTTGTCGCAGCAGATGGTATATCAGATGAACTTGAGCTAGGAATCAAACACTGATTATTTTTTCATAGGAGTCAAGTCGATCGCTCGAGGGTTCATCCATGAAAGTGGCAATCAACCCCCCGAGCGGACGGGCTTTGCAGCCTATCGAGCTACGGTGGATGTAGCACGCATAAAGGCAGACCCAGATCTCGCGTGGCTGCTAGAAAAGACTTCTTTGAATCTCTGGTTAGTTTTACTTGCCTTCATCACACTCTTCTGATACTGACTTGATTACTAGGGTCGGCGACCAGCGACATGTCATGACATACACCATTGGAGGAGGCAAGTCCTTTAATATGGTCCTCTCGCATCCTGACCATACCGACCCATCAACGTGGGACCAGACAACAGCTCTGAGCGATATGCGGAGAGAGTTCCAAGGATGGGATGCACGGTGAGTGGAAGTTTTAACACCTACGTTAATCCAACCTTTGCTAATATATTACCTGCTAGTCTGCAAAAAATCATCAGTTTCATCGAAAAAACACTCAAATGGCCGTTGATGAGCTGTGCACCTATGACCCGGTGGACGAAGAACAAAACCGTAATCCTCGGAGACGCAGCACATGCAATGCTGCCCTACATGTCCCAAGGTAAATGGACTCATTTGATTACATTGTATAAAGACAGTTAACCAATATAAGCAGGCGCAGCAATGGCCGTTGAAGATGGAGTGGCTCTCGCTCGATCTCTGTCTAAGGTTAGCAGTATTGCGGAAATTCCGAAGGCCCTCGCCGTCTTCGAACAAGTCCGCATCGAACGATCTGGCATGATGCAGGAGGCGAGTCTTCTAAATGGAAAGCTGTGGCATTTTCCCGATGGACCTCTTCAGCAGGCTCGGGATGAGGCTATGCGTCCGGAGACATTGGGAATACCTTTTAGTCACAGTCCTAATCAGTGGAGTGATCCGGCTACGCAGATGTGGTGTTATGGGTATGATACTGAGACGGAGATTGATAAGGCGTGGGCCTGTTCTTTGGCTGTAAAAAGTGTCCTTTAGAGTAGGTTATCAGTCATGAAGAGTTAATTTTATAGACCTTAATCGTATATGTTTTGGAATTCGCAGTAACGTCAAAAGCCTCATGACGACAAAGTCCTATGGAGCAAAGTAAACAACACAGATATTCAGGCCACGAATCTCCATACAAGCAATATCTCTCTTCAAAAATCCATCAATCAAAGATTCTCAATCATACAGCTCCATAGAAGGCCAAACAATGATATCCGCCCCAACCCCGCTCATCCGATATATCCCCGACCACACCAGCACCCCAATTCATATAGCCCGCACTCCCCTCATTATCGAAGATCCATATTATAATTTTTTCTCCGTATAAAATTGCTCACAATAATCCACAACAATGTCCCTTCCCTGGAAGCGCCTGATCCGCTTCATCGCCACAGATGGGCGTACCCTCCGCGGAGAACCCATCCTGCCCAGCAGCACCGGCACCACCGATCTCGGCCTGATCACCGAGTCCGACAAGCTGCAGGTGCACGTGCTTGAAGGCGATGATATCTACGACACCACGGGCCGGACGCGGGTTACGGATGAGGTCGTCATCGTACGGACTATGCTTGGTCCGCTGGCGCAGGAGGATGTGCCGATCCTGCGATGCGTGGGGTTGAATTATGCAAAGCATAGTGAGTGACTATACCAGAGATAATTAATTATCTTGGGTTGTCTGGTATAGTTATATATACTTATGCTAACACACCGGATCAGTCAAGGAAGCAGGCCGCACTCCGCCACCATTCCCGTTTATCTTCTTCAAGCCAAATACCACGGTACATGACCACGGGCGGCCGGTGGTGATTCCGAAAATCGCCCAGGATGACCAGGCAGATTATGAAGGAGAATTAGTTCGAGCATCTACACCGCCAACTTTCCGGACCAGTTATACTAACAATCCAACCAGTGCATTGTAATCGGTCGCGACGCCAAAAACGTCCCCGTCTCCGAAGCCCTCTCCTACATTGCCGCCTACACAGTAGGCAACGACGTCTCATCGCGCAAGCTACAGCGCGATCCAGCGCTAGCCGGACGCGTCCCGCAATGGGGCTTCTCGAAAGGCTTCGACACCTACGCGCCGCTGGGTCCATGTCTCGTGGCGGGGAGCGAGATCGCCGATCCGAGCAAATTGCAGCTGCGCACTGTTGTTGATGGGCAGGTGCGGCAGGAGGAGTCTGTGAGTGATTTGCTTTTTGATTGTGCGTATTTGGTGTCGTATTTGTCGTCGGGGACGACGCTGCAGAAGGGGAGTGTGATTATGACCGGGACACCGGGAGGTAAGTTTATATTTCTCCTGATCAAGAGGGTTTGACTGATTTATTCTATGTAGGTGTTGGGTCGGGATTGACTCCGCCGCGGTATTTGGTTCCTGGGACGCAGATGGACGTGTCGATTGGGGGCATTGGGACGTTACGAAATGGCGTGGTGTTTGAATAAATCAATGAGGATATAGATCTCGACAGTTTAGATCTTGATATAGTTTAATATTGAGACCGGGTTTTTATATCAGTTCGAGCCCCCGAACACTTCATGAATGATGATGACCGCAGGAGTCACAAACTACAGATTATCTGTTGACGAGTCGAAATTGGTAACTGCATGGTTCAGAATAAACAATTTCACAATCTCTCTTCTCCTTTTAAAACGATCCAACTCGAGAATGATTAAATCTCCTCCAAGTTGGACCACTGTTGCTGGTTTCAAGCCCTGTCAACTCGCACTGCAAAACACCCTGGGCTCGCATTATGAACATGGATATAATCAACTTTTGCGTCCGCAAAGAACGACTTCGCCTTTTCTGCCAGGTCTTTGCCTTCCACCACCGCACACCCAGTCATCATCTGGTTCGCGTCGTAGGCACGTACAGAGAGCAAGCGTCGGCGCTGCTGGTCAGGCACTGATCCGTCGCACTGATACCGCACGCAATCCTTACGGTGGACGAATATCGGACCAGGCCCAGTGTACGGCGATGCCGCAGGGAAAGGATCATAGGGAACGAGGAGCATCTCCTCGCCTGGCAGACCGTCTTTTAGACACCGTCTGCATGGGAAGCTTCTTGGTTCGTCGACTATCTTAGAGACTGACTTCTCTAAGTCAACGACCAAGGGAGCAGGAAGTGCAGTAAATTTCAGCATGTTGAGATATTTAGACAGCAGAAGGACTGCCTGCTTACTAGGACCGAATGTTAGCTGCTGAGTATGAATAGGTGCTTCCTAATACATACTTTCTTTGCGTGAGTGATTGGAATATTTCAAGGAGGTAAGCAAAGGTCAAAAGTATGGAAGGAATTCGAGAGCATAACTGCTGTTACTTATATCTTAGACACCGTGGCATAGGCATTTGGGATTCTGTCTTTGCTCTCGATGTAACCAATTATCACAGTGAGCTCTGTAAAGTTAAACTTTGCCATTGCTCTCAGTTTAACTAATTATACAATGAGCTCCATAGAGTTAAACTTTGTTGCTGCTCTCAATGTAGCCAATTATCAAACGCTAAGATCGGTAGAGTTAAACTCTATTTATCATTGCTCTCGAATTCACGACTAGGAGACAAGGAACAGAACAAAATAATCTTACACATCATCACCAATTATTAACCGGTTTTGGCGACCCTGATTGATGGTCATGAGAGTGGCTGGAACAGATTGTTCGAGCGGCGACCGACTGCCACTAGGGAAAAAACACGGTTTCGTGGTCCAAAGGTCACACACACAATACGATCGTGTCCTTTCTACCATCACTAGTTATGTCGCGGACTATGTAAGCAGCTTCACTTAAGAGGTCGTGCCTTCAAACCTGTTTGATGAAGTGCAGGTGCCTAGCAGAATCACTCGCTATAAATATCTGGGGATTGCAAATAGATCAAGCCTTGAGGAAAGACTCGTCGATGCTGCTCTCAAGATGTGACCGATTCGAGTCATCAACGACAAGTCTCAGCCTACTACCCTGGCCCAGAACGGACCAAAAAAAAAAAAAAAAAGCTACCCGAGAAAAACTACGTTGGAAGACAGTCTAGTAAAACGAACTCAATTTCAGCATCAGTCAAAAACAAGAGCTCAAGTACTAGTCTAAATCCCCGATGATTGCGCCCATTGTTTCGTTCCACCATGGTCGTCGTAGAGGTCATAAAATCCATTCTCTTCTCCCGTCGGTCGCATCATCGAGACCTCATCAAGAGACGTCTTTGCCAGCATGCGAAAGCAAGAGAGAAGAGAAGAGGGATCGGGGAGGGGAAAGGTTTTTTCGTTTTTTGTTTCAAATGGTTCATTCCATCACAGGTAGCATTGACACAAGATACCGAAGAAGGAAAAGTCTATTGACATGAAAATGACAAAAAGCCGTCAAAGCGGGCCCACTAGGGGCTCGCATGGTAAAAAAGGTGTGTAAAAGAGAGAGTAAGAAAGGTAAAAAAAAGGGCCCAATTGAGAAGGAAGAAACAATTGGGAACGAAAGAAGATAAGAAATGATCATCGAGACCACATGGTTGGTTTTCTTGTCCAATCTACCAGAGACGGGTTCCACTGCTTTTTTTCTTGTTCTCAACACGCACGCACACGATCGACGCGGGAGCGCATTTACTCGATGGACCAGGTAGCGCCGGAGAGACGACCAGCACCGAGATCGGAGAACTTCTCGAACAGAGCGCGCGACAGGTCAATAGAGGTGTCGTCGCAGCCCATGCACTTGTCAACGACGGTACCGGAGGCAGTGACACCATTGTAGGTGATGGTGACAGTCTTGCCGCAGTCGCCGTCGGTCATGATGCCGTGGGGCAGGGCGAGGACGGACTCGGTCAGGCCGTCGTTGGTGGTGCCGCAGGAGCTGGGGTTCGAGGAGGTGGTGGCGGTGTCGTAGTAGGTAAGATCACCGGTGCAGGGGGAGCCAGAGTCGCACGAGCCGCTGTAGTTGCTGCCGCCGCTGGAGCTGGAGCTGGAGCTGGAGCTGGAGGCGGTGGGAGCCGGGGCGGGGGCCTCAGTCGTGGAGGAGGTGGGCTGAGCCGGCGGTGCGGGGGCGGGAGGAGCGGCCTGGGTGGCCTGGGCAACAGGAGCCTCCTTGTCGGAGGGGGAGGCAGAAGCAGGAACCACGGTCAGGACGGAGGTCACAGCAGTGGGCTGGGCCTGGCCGCCGGGGTAGATGGTGGTGGTCACGTCGATGGTGGTCCAAACAACGTCGGTGACATAGTCGTAGACAACGGCGCGCTTGTCGAAGGGAGCAGCGACACCGGAAGCGGCAAAGAGAGCGCCGGCAAGGGCAAGAGTCTTGGTGATGGGGGCCATTGCGAATGTGGGTGGAAGAAAAGGACTGGCTTTTCAGAGAGTGTTGGTGGTCAAAAAGGACTGATCACTGCACAGCAGTAAAGTCAAGAAAAGAAACACTCGAAAGAGCGTGAGTGTTGATGAAGAAAGGAAGTGTAGGGAATGGACTGAAGAGACCGTTGTGGATGGGAGGAAGAAGGGGGCAGGGGAAAGAACGCGCAGCTTTAAATACAGAACGGCAGGGGGAGATGGGTTGGCCCCACAACACCATCCACGGTTTGTGCTTCACACCCGCCACGCCGGTCAGTCGGACTCTGCCGAGACGTGTGGTCCCTTGCCGGGCAGATTGACGGACGGCCAGGTTTACTTGCACACTACACTAGACTAACCGACACGACACGACTTGTACACTACACTACATGTACACTCTCCTGGATGCAAGACAAAGGCACCCGGTCGGGTACCTGAGTCGGAGCGCTCGGAGCAGGGTTCCTGCGGGTGCTGATTGGCATAGCGCGCGCCAGATGAGGCGCACACCTGCGACACAGAGAGGGGGAACCTCCTGGAACTAGGCCTCTCCGAGCGTAGGCTGACGGCTGAGGCAGCCGATCCAAGAGCCAAAAACCCTCCTGGTGGGCCCCAACTCCACTTATTCAGTCCTTGGGTGGCCTATGGCGGGGGAAGCGCCACGCGAAATCTCTGGAGGATACCATTTCCGGCATGCACCAAAAGAACTGCGCCATCTCGTCCGAGTATGCGGTGTCAGGGACGGCTGGGAAAAATCTCTCTTCCGGCACACACTGGAGGGGGCGAACGAGCGGCACACAGATCAGATCATACCAGGCAGACGCGACCGACTGGCTGGACATGTCACCGCGGGCCGTGATTGGCCCGGTGGTGAGACAAGCTACGATTTAGGACCAACCCACCGCGCTGCGATCGCCAGTGACGTTGGCCATGGACAGAGATTTTTGACTCCACTGCTCGAGTGGTCTGGGCCCTCGAACGCCTGCTTCATTCAGGGAACCACTCTGGTCGTTGTGGGTCTGCCTGTCCAATACTGAGAGACAAGAGGGGAGCCGAACGGCTTTACTGTGCTGTCCATAGGGCTGGTACAGTACATATCCCCCTGCCGCCGATCGGACTAGTCACGCATCACGACGGGTGGAGCAGGAGATGTATTGTTTGTAGTGCCAACCAGCCCTAATATACATGCAGTACGTAGGGCAGACCCTGACCGGGGTGTGGGTGTGGGTGTCACTTACTGTCGTGCAACACCTCAAGCATTGCAAGCATTCAAAATCCCCGGTCCCCGGCAGATTCTAGATTCTAGACCAACCCTGGAAGAGGGGATTGGACCCTGTCGTACTGGTGGTGACATGGTACAGCATCAGTCGGCGAAGTGGTTGGCATGGCATCATTCCCCTCCCCCTCCATTCTATCCAGCCACCAGTCCGCGCAGCTCCACTGCTCCGGGGAGAGGAGCCCTCCGGAAATAGTCGCTCGGCTTGAAGAGCGGGGCTTTGCGACATAGCTGTGACAGGCTGGCATCGGAGTCGAGATTGAGGGATTGCAATGCGGTGGTGGATAGCAACGAACAATCAGCGTGTGTACATACCAACGATCGACTATGCATGGGAAAGAATGTGATCCGGACTTTCCGGGTCGCACACGACAGAGAATGCAATCAAAGCAATTGGACATACTTTGGAATGGAAGCATGCCATATCCAGTGCTTTCTCAACTTACAACCATCATCCCATTCCACTCCATTCCCACCGATTCAGTCGGGCCTACCATGCAAACAGACTTTTCAAAGAAAGACATTCTAGAAACGGAACAGAAAGGCAAAGGCAAAAAACCCAATTCACATCGGAACCTCGTGCCTGCCCGAATATCCTCCGGAATAAGAAAGAATAAGAAAGAATAGAGTGAGTGGGTGGAGACGAGATGAACGAAGAACGGTTAAAGGAACCCTCGTGGCGAATGACGGCATGTGGCGGGCTTTGCACCAAGGGGGCAGGTAGCATGGAAGTCTCCACTATGGAAGGAGGATGGAAGGCCGAAAGAAAACCAGAAACCTTTTGAGTGATAAAAGAAATGCCGCTGTGCTGTGTCAGCGCCGGATGTGGAAATGGATTCCGCCACTACATTGAGAGAGGGGAGGAGCTGTTTGAAGGGTATGTTGAGTCAAGGGTAGAGAATGGAGGCTTCAGAATTCTATCTAAAAGTGAGAGCAGAATGGAATCCAAAGTCAGTACTAGGATTAGATATATATATCCATTGCCTGCCTTCATATTATCTATCAGAAGAAATCAAAATCAAAATCGACCCTCCCATCCCACCTAACATTCGGCAACATCTTCGCTACCCCATTAGCCGCATAAGCATCAGGCTGTAGATCCAGGATCGGTGGACAGAGGAAATAGCGTGCGCAATGTAGGCATTTCTTTTACTTTTATCTTATTATACAACAGTGTTGGGATAGAAACATCAGTCATTAACTAAAACTTAACATAAGAAAAATAGAACAAGCCACCGCCAATCCATAAAAATGACCTCAATCAGACTAAGCAGACAATCCAATCTGTGTAATCACAAGGCCAGCGAGTGCAGAAACACAAAAATACATCTAAGTCATCAAATATAAGAACAGTCTAGCCCTGGCACATGAGGCAGGCCTCCTTGTTCTCGATGCTGCACTCGAGCACCTTCTGCGAGTAGATGTCCGCTTCGGTCTGGGCATCGCTGGCGGTCTTCTCTTCCGAAGCAGCGGCGCCGTTGGTCTCAGCCGGGGCCGCACCGTTCTCAACGGCAGCGGCCACCGGCTCTGGAACAAGAGTGCGCGGACTCTCCTCAGGACCCCCGTTGACGGCAACAGGAGCAGCAGCAGTAGCCGCGCCGTTGGCACGGGGCACAGCGGAGTAGGAGGAGCCATTGCCAGCGGTGCGCTTCTTATAGGCAGCGTTGCCGCGGGCGACGTTGGTATCCTCAACCTTGAGCTGCTCCTGGTCGACCGTGAACTGGATCGGAGCAGAGGCAGCCATGGTGCGCAGGTAGTACATGCCGGTTTTCAGGCCCATCTTCCAGCCGGCAAAGTGCATGCTGGTGATCTTGCCCATGGTGGGCTCCTTCAAGTGGATGTTGAGCGACTGCGACTGGTCGATGTAGGCGCCTCGGTCGGCGGCCATCTGCAGGATATTGCGCTGCGAGATCTCCCACACCGTCTTGTAAAGGGCCTTGATGTCGGCGGGGATGTTGGGGACATTCTGGACCGAGCCGCCGTCGGCGATGATGCGGTTCTTCATGTTGTCCGACCACAGACCCAGGTCGACCAGATCCTTCAGCAACCAAGGGTTGACCACCTGGAACTCACCGGCAAGCACACGGCGCGAGTAGATGTTCGAGGTGTATGGCTCGAAGCACTCGTTGAAGCCAAGGATCTGGCTGGTGCTAGCCGTGGGCATGGGAGCGACCAGCAGACTGTTGCGAACACCAGTCTCGGCGATCTTGGCCTTCAGAGCAGCCCAGTCCCAGAGATCGGTGGGAGTACGGTCCCACATATCATACTGCAGGATACCCTGCGAGACAGGAGAACCCTCGTAGCTCTCGTAGGGGCCATTCTCCTTGGCGAGATCAGACGAGGCAGTCAGAGCACCGTGATAGATGGTCTCAAAGATCTGAATGTTCAGCTGCCTGGCCTCGGGCGAGTCAAAAGGCAGACGCAGGGCAAGGAAGGCGTCGGCAAGACCGTTGACACCCAGAGCAATGGGGCGGTGACGCATGTTGCTATTGCGCGCCTCAGGGACAGGGTAGTAGTTGATGTCAATGATCTTGTTCAGGTTGCGCACCAGAACCTGCACCACCTCGTGCAGCTTGCCAAAGTCGTACTCGCCGCGAGCGGCGTCAACGTAGGTTGGGAGTGCCAGCGAGGCCAGGTTGCAGACAGCAACCTCATCGGGAGCAGTGTACTCGATAATCTCCGTGCACAGGTTGGAGCTGCGAATGGTACCCAGGTTCTTCTGGTTGCTCTTGCGGTTGCAAGCATCCTTGTAGAGCATGAAGGGATTGCCAGTCTCGGTCTGGGCCTCGAGGATGGCATACCACAGCTTCTGGGCCTTGATGGTCTGGCGGCCACGGCCTTCCTTTTCATACTTCTCGTAGAGGGCCTCGAATTCTTCGCCGTAGACATCAGCCAGGCCAGGGGCTTCGTTCGGGCAGAAAAGGGTCCAGTCGCCGTTGGCCTCGACACGCTTCATGAACAAATCGGGAGTCCAGAGAGCGTAGAAGAGATCACGGGCACGGACTTCCTCCTTGCCGTGGTTCTTGCGAAGATCCAAGAACTCGAAGACATCCGCGTGCCACGGCTCCAGGTAGATGGCAAACGCACCCGGTCGCTTGTTGCCGCCCTGGTCGACGTAGCGTGCGGTGTTGTTGTACACCCGAAGCATGGGGACGATACCGTTGGAGGTACCATTGGTTCCACCAATGTACGACCCGGTGGCTCGGATGCGGTGAATGTTCAAGCCAATACCACCGGCAGTCTTGGAGATCATGGCACAGGTCTTGAGAGTATCGTAGATACCCTCAATGCTGTCCTCCTTCATGTCGACCAGGAAGCAGGACGCCAATTGGGGCTGCGGGGTACCCGCATTGAACAGGGTCGGGGAGGCGTGTGTGAAGTATTTCTGAGACATCAAGTGATAGGTCTCGATGGCCTTCTCAATATCGCTACCGTGAATACCAACGGCAACACGCATCAGCAGGTGCTGAGGACGCTCAGCAACCTTGCCGTTGATCCGTAGAAGATATGAGCGCTCCAGGGTCTTGAAGCCGAAGAAGTTGTAGTTGAAGTCGCGGTCGTACACAATAGCCGAGTTGAGTTCCTCTGCGTGCTTCATGACAATTTCGTAGATCTCTTGGGAGATCATGGGAGCTGGCTTGTTGTTCTTCGGGTTGACATAGTGGTAGAGGTCCGAGATGACCATGGAGAACTGCTTCTTGGTCTGCTTGTGGAGGTTGGACACGGCGATACGAGCGGCGAGGATGGCATAGTCCGGGTGTGTCACGGTCATGTAGGCCGCAGTTTCGGCAGCCTGGACATAAAACATTAGCGGCAACTCATGAGAATGGTGATGGTGTGCTTACCAAGTTATCCAGCTCGATGGTGCCGACGCCCTGGTAGACACCAGATATGACTTTTTGCGTGATAGCAGCAGCGTCGACGTGCTCCGGATCGAGGCCATAACAGAGCCTCGACACACGAGCCGTGATCTTGTCGAACTGCACGCGTTCTTTGCGTCCGTCTGTTTGGAGTTGAGTGTCAGCAACGACGCCTGACGTGGGTGGCAAGGAAGGCGAGTGACGCGTGGGCTGCGTGTAGAAACACCACAGACTCACGTTCATCGTCGATCCCACTGCCTAGAAGGTGCAGAAACGCGTCAAACTTACCTCGCTTGTAAACGAACATCTTAGCGGAAGGGCGTGGGAGTAGTGTGGGAGAGGGAAAAGACAGGGAAGAGATGCAGGGTATCAAAGATGCGATGCAAGAGAGAACAGGAGATAATTAGAATGAGCGAGAAGATGGGAGGATGGGAGGATGAGGGAGGCAGAGGAGGGATGGAGGAAGAGAGGAAGGAGGAAACGGAGGGGAAGACTAGAGAAAAATACCGAGTGTCGCCAGAGAGACAGACGCGCGCGCGTTTTTCGTGTCGCTGGTCACGTGATCACGCCTGTTTAGGGTTAACTATATAGCAAGTCCATTCTTTATTGGTTCGTTAGTCCAGGCAGCAACAGTCATAGCATTGGTTTCTTTTGGTTAATCCGATACATTATGACAGCCAAAACAAGCACACATTCACTTGTTCGGATCAGCAACTAACAGGACCACATGGATATCCAGCCATATAACATCACACCCTAGAACCAATTCAAAGAGCAGCAGCAGCTCCCAGGAACACCGCGGCAGCGACCATGTTGGCCGAGAGCTGTCGATCCGGAACGGCGCCGGCCGTGAAGAGCGAAGGAGCAGCACTGTGAATGCTGGATGCAGAGGCACTCTGAATGCTGGATGCGGAGGATGGGGGGATGACGACGGAGGGAGGAGACGATCCAGGCGGGGCACCGCCAGCGGGAGCTCCAGCTGCGGGAGCCACCGGAGGAACACCACCAGCAGGAGCTCCAGCTGGGGCAGCGCCAGATGGGGGACTCGCCGGATGAGCACCGCCAGCAGGAGCTCCAGCGGGGGGAGCACCGGCGGGGGGAGCACCAGCCGGAGCACCGCCAGATGGGGGACTCGCCGGAGGAGCACCACCAGCAGGGGGAGCGCCAGCTACAGCACCACCGGTAGGACCTGGACCCGCAGGAGCACCACCAGTGGCCCCAGGGCCAGAGGGAGGGGTTCCAGTGTTGGTGCCAGAAGGTACACTAACCCTCGGAGTCGAAGCACCAACAGGAGAAATGAAAGAAGAGCTGGCAGCGGGAATAGAAACAATGGACGAGAACTCTGCAGAAGAATGATCGATCAACACATCTATCCAAACCCAATAGAATCAACAAATTACGTACCTGGATGACCAGCCTGGGGGCAGACGACGTTGGCAAAGTACCGCAGTGCTGCCGTGGCTTGGCCGCCGCACTGGCTCTGGATGGCGGAGGACGCACTGGCTGCGTTTGGTCCGCAGGCGTTTGCAACACTTGCAACTGCGGGCGGGACGTCGGACAGGCTCCTGCAAAGCTGTTAGCTAATAGATCGCTTAGCGGATCCATCATCTGGTTCGAAAGACTTACGCTATCACTGAGGCGAGACAGGGTGGGGGGTGTCCAGCTGTGGCGATTTTGGCGAGGGCCATGAAGGCCAGCACGAGAGCGGAGTTTTTGATGAACATTGTGGTGGTGTCGTTGATGTTGAGAGAAAATGTGTTGGGTGTAATGAATCACGAATCTGATGATATATAGGTTAAGTAGATGAAGACGAGAGCGTATTCTGGCCAGAAAATTGTATTTTTCTACTGGGAACTAAAAATAGGGACAAAACCAAAGGTCGAGGACGAAAAGTGACGGCGTAGATTTGATGGCAGCCGATGCCGAAAAGGGTCCCAAGGCCTGACTGGGATGCCGCCGGTGACAGCTGAACCAAGTATCATGGCGGATGGTGGAAGTTACCTTACCACCGTCCTGATTTGATGAACCTCGGAAAGCTCTAGATTTAGACTTCGATCGTGTTTAATGGAAGTATAAAATTGGTTGTAGTATCCATAGTGTCTATACTGCGAGGCCTATCCATGGAATGTAATAACAACGAACTGTGAATCGAATTAGACATGAAGCTATTCAAGATGTTCCCAAACAGATGTCCTTATTAGAGATTCTGGCATTATCTACGTTTATGCATACTGGGATTATTAATGCCTGGCACGTCTTGACTAGCTCTTTCCGTTTTAGGGTTCACCCCTCGCTCTCTGAGTAAAATTGAGCATGACTTTGAGCAGCCTGAGCCACTCACTGAGCGCCCCGATTCGTTTACTGAACCCGAAGTAAGCATATACAGTAGTACTTCTACCCTTATGCCTTTATTACTAATGATTATTTGCATCTCATACATGTTCGTGCAAACGTTTTGAGTAGTGATTTGCGTACAGACTTCTACGGTTTCCCAATTGTCTGCAGCTTTGCCAGTTGGCCTAACTACATATTACCCGATCTAGCTACGGCGCGCATTGCCGGTCACCTAACTAAAGTGGGGTCTATTCTTATGAGTCGTAGTATAGATTTTCTATATAGAAGACAAGTTGTTTTCCTCCTAAACAATTACCATTTGTGCCGGGGCAGCCGAAACTGGCTCCTTTCGTGGCCGAAAATGGCCTCTCCGGCACCACTCCCTCCACACACGCACCTATCCAGCCACGACCACGCACCCCACCCTCGGTCCCCTGTAACGGGAGGCGTAACGATCGATGCCCAGCCGTCGGGCCACCCTTTTTGGCCTTCTACTCACCCTCCAGGGTGATTGCTCCCTCCGCACCCACCACAACGCTCCCTTGTCTTTCGCGGCGTCAAAAATGGCCACACTTTATCCAGCACTCATTAGCTATGCGGCCTTGTGGTCACCGGCCATAAAACCGCCTACTGCCGTCGTCCTGCTCTCCCTCGTTCGCCTTCATCTTTTCCTTCCTAGGCTCCCTCGTTCTCCTTCACGCTTCTGCTTCGTGCTCTTTTCCTTGCCCACTAAGGGGCGTTCTCTTTGACATTGAACGATAATCCTATGCCCCTTGTCTACCGGGCTATGTATCTTCTACTAACACGCCGATCTAAGCATATCCCCTACGTACTCTGACGTCGAATTGTCGGACTAAGCACTAGAGGATGATAGTGACATATCCCGCATGTCTTTTCGGCTAGACTACAGCGATAGCGATGAATCGGACGCCGATAAAGCCGTAGTTTCGATAACTCAGACTTCACCTGAGCCTTCATAGTCTCCTAAACACTATGACGGAGTCTCGCGTAGCTCTAAACCCTCCGTATGTAGTCCCGTTCGCTCTAGGAATTTGCTAGATTTTAGTGACGATCCAGATAACGACACTAACGAGGACATTACAAACATTCCTCTTAACTATAGGCGTTCTGAGAAAACCAAGGTTCGCGGGGTTCGAATTGAGCAACGCTAGCAGAAGTAGGCGAACCTTCAAAAACTTGCCTTCTAATACGTGCTAACATGTCTAGGTACTACCGAGTAAAGGCTAAAAGCCCTAATTCGCTTTCGAAATAGAATGACCCGACGGAGGCTCTTCGTTAGGTCACTCCTAATGATATACATCGGTTTCTTAACTACTACCTAAAACTTAAGTATGGCTAAGATAGTAGGTATTTGAAGGGAACAAATAAAGCTAGCGCCCTTAAAGCCGACTAGAAGAGTTTCTGAGGCTACTTTCGAAGAATAACCCGTACTAGGATCAGCCCTAAAGATAGCGAAGAGATTAATGTAGTAAGCTATATATCCTCCTCTTACGACATTCGGAGCTAACGAAACCTAGGGAATTCGAAAACTGATCGATAAATTTAGGCTTAATTAGTAAGAGCGAGGTAGAGAACTAGTCTATGTACAAGATCTAACCGAATTGAATAAGACTATTCTTCGAACCTAGGAAAGACGATTTCATTTTAGATACGAGCGTATTCAAATATGTCTCTTTAGCATGATTAGCATCTACACCGTGAATCGACTAAGTGCGCTACTTTCGTTATAGCTTAAGCATCTATAGTTCTCTATATAGAAGGATCCTCACGGTGGCCCTCCTATACTTCTAGTAGAGATCAGGTTAGAGCACACGAAGCGGTTCCTCGGGTCTAAAGCTATGTAGGTATTATATTCCTCCCTAATCCTAAAGGCAAGGCGATTGATTCTTTTTTTTTCCCTAGTAATACTTTTATATTTCCTAAAATCATCGACGACCCCTCTCTTATCTTTAGCCCGCATATATTCATCTTTAGTATCCTCTTCTAGCTACAAGCTTTTGAATCTCTAGGCCTTTCCTCTATAGAGAAACTTCGAAGTCTATTTATTCAAGGTAGTCGCTAGCAGATGCCACTCCCCTTGAAACCCGAGGTCGAGGATCGTTATATCTTTTGCAAGACAGAAGTCGTCAACGGGCGTTTGATCCTTCGGTAGGATCAACCTATGGTCGATGTCACTATGTCCGCTCGACTAAGGAATCTTAGAGAGATTCATAGTTAGCTTCATTCAATATTTGCGCATCGTATGCGCTATAGTGGTAGAAAGATGTTGAATAATAGTGACGCAGTTAGCGAAGCATAGTAGAATCTAATCATAAAGCACGCGGATACCCGTACCTTCCTTAATCATTACCTTCTGCGACACGTTGACATAGACATACAAAGTGTGATAAACGGCCGCGAATCTAACAAATCTCTAATGCGCGTAATCACCCGTATGAGTAGGTGGATCGACACGAGGCGGCCTCGACACCTAACAACCGAGCAACGAGCATCGATCTATGAACATCCCGAGTATGTTAAAGCGGTCCGACGATTGGAAGAGCAAACTGAAATTTATATCTATGACCTAAGTAAACAAATACGATCGCGACGTAATACTCTAGCACGCGATAAGCTCAACATGTTTAGCCGGCTAGAGAGGGCGTTAATGTAGAAAGTTCGGAAGGAGTTTGACTATAGACAGGCGAACATAGACATTAAGCGACAGCTCTCTAGAGCGGCTATCGACGACGAGGAAGCTAAGGACTCACTACGAATAGATAGTATGTTGCTAGAGTAGATCAATCTTCTCAAGAAGTTATTAACCTAGCCGACTTCCTATTTATTAGATGCGGAGTGGTAGAGACGAAATGCGGCTATCGTTGCAATCTCATAATACTATAGTCACCTTAAAGGTAGGCCGTTGCGTAGACGGCGCAAACGAGTATCGCTAGGCGACGGGTCTAAAGAAGAATAGCTAGTTTCAATAGTTAGTCTAGCCATAAGAACTCCGGAAAATACGGCGCTATCGCTAGATGAAATGATTCTATTAGAAGCCGAGCATCATATCAGGTATACAAGTCAACCCGAAAGATGTTTCTAATGCTTTAGAAATACCTAGGAGCCATTCCGTACTCGAGTAAAGAAATAGAGCGAGTATAAGTCAACCTTAAGACATTTTCGAGAGAAGCATTTCTATGATCGGAAGTGTCTCATGTGTTACGAAGATCTCTTACATGAGATGCATCTTCGCAGACACGCGTAGGATGTTCATCGTCTCAACACTAAACGGTCAGGTTGTAGTCTAGTAAAGAAACGGCGGGGGGCCTAATCTTAGACTTGACGATCTACAAAGCAGCGCAAGCAAGAGCGCGCTTCAAAGTTTGTGGTTTGCTAGGGTGGCTCTTGATTTCTAGTAACGGGCACATGTTTGAAAAGCTATAGACAATGCTTTATAATACAGTACTTCTCTCTACTATGATTCATTTGACTGCCCTACTATATCACTTCCGCTCCTCTATCGGTTTTGAGATAGCAAATATCAATCTACGTTTGATAGAATCCAATATAGGATGGATCGGAATTAGTTTTACCAATTGCACACAAAGATTCTTTCCCGAACCCTGTTTCGAAACACGCTATACCTATTACTGTTTCTCTGCCCCTAAACCCCTTTCTTAGTAGTATTTCAGTATAGGCATAAATAATAGCTTAAAAATAGCGTCTATATTAGATTGGAAGGTCTCTAGGCTTTCTAGAACGTTGACCTTGCAAACAAGCTAAAAAAAAGGGGGGGGATAAGTTTTAAAGGGGTGATAGACGACCACCGGAATGTGATAGAAACGAAACTATCTGCTCGCCCCTGTTTAGCCCTTAGCTTAGTGAGCAGATGAAATGATTTTAGGTGAAATGTCGGGGGATGCTAGGTATTGGGAAATGCACGTGACTTGGCATCCCGTAGTTCCTAGAAGCATAGTGGCCTATCTGAAAGCTGCGGACCTCAAAAAAGGCGATTGTAAGGACTAGAGCATCCTGTGCTAGCTCGACTATAGCAACAACCAAATCGTGATATGTCATACTTTGCATTTCGGATAGCTAGCAGCGGTAGGCTCTTATAGTATAGTAAAGTGATAATGTTAGCGTGCTCTTGTCTGAAGTAATGTTGCTGGTTATTGCGTGCTTCACCTGATCTGACTATTCTATTTCGGGTCGATACAATTCCTGGGAAGGTGCAAATCCTATACTGCTTGAATAGGCCACTAGCAGCAAGCGTAGCTAAGCAGAAGTCCTCATATGGGATATTTAGAAAATACGTGATGAGTGCTGACCGTCTAACGTAAACTAAGAGTATATGTCGCTACAAAGGTTTGATACCTTGAGGGCTGAGTTCTGCTTTTTTGGATTTGCCGTCGGCACCATGATCTAGCAGCATCTGCACCACCTTTCCATAGCCGTTGGTTGAGGCGGCCTAGAGTGCATTCCCATACTCTCCGCCTTAGGCGTTAACCTTGGCACCACGATCTAACAGCATCTGCACCACCTTTTCATGGCCGCTAATTGAGGCGGCTTGGAGCGCATTGTTCACACGTCCACCTTAGGCGTTGACGTTAGCGCCAAGATCCAGCAGCATCTGGACTAGTCTTTCATGGCCGACGGACGATACGGCATAGAGTGCATTGCTATGCTTTCTATCTTGGGCGTTGACGTCAGCAGTATGATACTGTAGTATCCGCTCTAACCCGTCGTATGTGTTGGCCTTAAATATGTCGCTGATAAAGTTACCATAGGCGTTAACGTCGAGACCATGATCTAGTAGCATTTGTACTATCTTTTCATGGCCGTGGATTAAAGCCGCCTAGAGTGTATTATCGAAACGTCCACAACGCGCGTTGACGTTAGCGCCATGTTCCAGCAGCATCTGCACCACCTTTTCGTGACCTCCAGACGCTGCAGCCTGCAGTGCATTGCAATACTCTCCACCTTAGGCATTAACCTCGGCACCACGATCTAGCAGCATCTGCACCACCTTGTCATGGCCTTCGGACGATACAGCGTAGAGCGCGTTGCCGTGAACCCCACCTTGGGCGTTGACCTCTACACCATGGTCCAGCAGTATCTGGACCACCTTTTCATAACCGCCACTTAAGGCGGCCTACAGTGCATTCCCATACGTTCCACCTTGGGCATTAACCTCGGCACCATGATCTAGCAGCTTCTGCACCACCTTTTCATGGCCGTTGATTGAGGCGGCCTAGAGTGCATTCCCATACTTTTTGCCTTGGGCGTTAACCTCTGCACCATGATCCAGCAGTATCTAGACCACATTTTCATAACCGCCAATTGAGGCGGCCCAGAGTGCATTCTCAAAACGTCCACTTTGCGCGTTGACGTTAGCGCCATGATCCAGCAGCACCTACACCACATTTTCATGGCCTCTAGACTCTGTAGCCTATAGTGCATTGCCAAGCTCCCTACCTTGGGCATTCACTGTTCCTATTACACTTGTATCTCTAATGTCGATTGCTAAGATACATTCTAAGACGGATTCTATTCCCAACATCGCTACGTAGTATAGAGGCAATGCAATAGTAGTGATAGGACGATGATGAGCCACTTCCGCGTTCCATAGACTATCCATGTCATGTAAACGTATCCACGTCAGGAATGACCTTGTCTAGTCTTTGAAAAGCCTTAGCACTAGATGTTCAATGCTAGACTTCTCTTCTCTAGAGTTTGCGTAATGATAAAACCAATGTTTAGCTACGAAATGAGCGAGTAGGAACTCTGTGAGCTTTGCTTGATCTAATATCCCCTTAGAAAGAGTTGGCTCTAAGAGGTACGTAAGACAGATCTAAGCTATCTCTCTATTTGCAGGTGTACTTCGAATGGCGAATCTTCTTAAATTTTGTTGTAAGATGCGATCTGATTGAAGATACTCCTAGACAGAGAAATGGGCTATGCGAGTATAGACTTCCGCATGACCCAACCTAACCCGGACCCAACCCGGACCCAACCCGGACTGGGTTGGGTTTTGGGTCAGAGTCCTCGACCCAGAACTGGGTCCGGGTTATAATGTCTGACCCAGTACTGGGTCTGGGGCCCCAACTTGGGTTATAAACATTGCAAACACGCCTAGGCCCGTGACTACATAACTTATGCAATTTTTGGCTGTAATATTAGGTATTTCTATTACAGCTAAATCAGAACTAATATCTTAATTTTAAAACAAAGTAGTAAATATTGGATGAAATGTAGAGTTTATCAATTGCCTATACTGCTAACTAATGGTACTCAAAGATATCGTCTTCTCGACTCTTTCGCTTCCGTCCTAATGCGCGCACTTGGGTGTTGTTCTCTAGTAATGGCACCTAGGATTCACGTCTAGTCGGTTCTTCAAGCGTAGCTGATAAAGCCTCATCTAGCTCTATCTCTTCATCAATTGTAGTCTCTTGTTCCTCAGCATCACTAATTGGCTCGATCTCAATCTCGTCAAGCTTCTCATCCTTCTCTTCCTTGCCGCTTCCATCTCATCATAGGAGAAGAACTTCTTAAGAAGCTTCGCCTCTTGTTCTTCGATATCAAATCTTGAAGTGTAAAGAAACATCATTAAATCTTCGATCGTATGAGACTTCATCCGCCCTCGGCGGTAATAATAGATATCCCGAGTAGTGTTAAAGAGCCGCTCAACGCCTACACCTATTGTAGGGAATAAGAGGACATCACGCGCAAGGGCGGCAATTGCTAGGAAGCGAGCTTGGTTCTCTCGCCAGAATGTAAGAGGTACAATATGAATAGGATCTAATTGTAGGTTAGTAAGAATCCTTAATGGCTTGGTTTAAACATACCACTATCAAGATATTGAGTCATTTCATCAGTAGTCGTGCTTGCTTATACATTGCTTCCATTTAACATCGTATCAAGCTTCGATCCTAGCCGAGCCATCATTTAGGAGCCATCCGAGGACTTATTAAGGGATGAAAGCTCCTCTTAGTATAGAATCAGAGCTTCTTAGAAAGATTTGCGATATGTGTCGCACTATTTCTGATCCTAGTCGTTTGTAAGAAAGAATTTGAACTTATTCACTAGTGCTAGTATTGTGCTAATTGCATAGATATGTCCTCGAATGTTGTTAGTTTAAGAGTAGTACTCATTAAGCTTTAACCGACTAGCTTTAAGTACGTGAAGCATCTGCTTTTTCTATAGCATACGCTTACGTCGTAGCTACTTCATTGACTATTCGAGATGCTTAAAGAGTTTGTTGTAAATCTTGAACATATAATGCGCAGTAACATCTCGAGTCTTTGATAGCTGAGTTGTAAAGTCGAAAAATGGCTCAGTGATACAAAGAAGATAGTCAACTTAACGCTACTCCTCCTCGTAGAGCAATATCTCTTCGCAATCGTACTCTGCACAAAATAGCGCAAAGATAGGACGTAGACGCTTTGCCCGGCGAAGCATTAGAAATGTGGAATTCCATCGAGTTCTTATATCTTGGATCAGTACTAGCTTAACGGCTGTCGTCTAGAGATTGTAAAACGTCTCCCGGCGCTAAGGGCTTGCGTTCACATATATCGTAAGATAGCGGACCTTATTCAATGTAAAAGATATCTCACGATTCCGATGCTACGCGTTTGAATGAGCTAATCTTGATTGCTTCTCTGTCCATTTCGTCTTAGCTAAGTCATTCAGTGGGACTGCCTTAATACAATCAAGGAGCTGATTTAGACTAAGCTAGATAACGTGAGCAAGACATAGAATTCGAACAATAATAACACTATCTGAGAGACCCTGTTAGAGAGAATCAAACAATGTCTTATTATTAGATGCATTGTCCGTTGTTAACCCGAATACTTGGGCTTCAAGGTCATGATCTGTTAGAGTTTCAAGAAGAACATTGCTTAGGTTCGCACCTATATACGCACCATAGAGAGGTTTGAACCTAAGTAGTACCTCACGGTAGACCCAATCAATATCAACAAAGTAGCTAGTGATTGCCATAAATGCCTACGAGAATAGAGATGTCTAGCAATCTAGCACAATTGATATTTTCGTACCAACGGGTAGTGTACGAAGGATACGCTCTTACCGATCTTTAACAATACTCCCTAATCGGCGACGGATTGTATCAGCAGAGGGAATGATCGGAGGTAACGGGGCACAACGAGCCCGAGAAATAAGACGCTGAAATGCCGGATGCTCAATTAGATGAAGTGGAAGTCGGTTAAGTGTAATGAATTGTAGGATATCTTCTTCCTAGGCTTCTTGCGAGAATGGTATTTCGGCTTCTCCCTAAGGTTAGTAGCTAGGATTAATTAGTAAAGTAGAATAAAGGGCTACATTAGAACGTACCCCTTTCTTTAGAAATTTTGTAATCTCTGCTCTCTTTCCTTGCTCACTCTTCAAACATCCCGCCGTCTTTAAATGTTTCTGCATTGTCGAGGTGCCATGATATTGCACTTTACCTATAGCCTTTAGATTAACTATATAAGGATGCTCAAGAATAGCTCCACAACGTTGACACATGACCTTTAGTGCGCCATCTATACTATGAGCAACCTGGTTGTAGTGGCTCCAAATCTCAGAATGGCGCGTCGAGTCCTACTTGATCTTGCTCTTTCTCCTAAAATCCGTTTGTAGCCACTAGTCTACCTAGTCGTTATAGGACATTTTATCGTAGAGAACGAACGCTTTCCTTCGGTCGGGTCTAACGCGTATTAAGCAGGAGGGGGCTATTAGTGGGATATTCGGTCGGAGGAAGTTAGGGTCGAAGGTTTCGATCGTATGTTGGCTAGTAGATAGAGTTGCTAGTTGGTTTGATGGTGTAAGATAGCTTAGATTGTCTAGATCACCATCGTAAAGCGAGGATACGAAGTCAGACTACTAACTTTGCGATATAGTAAATTGACTAAGATGCAAAGTAAGGGAGAAAGGGAGAATAGAGAACTCATAAATAATATCTATTAGCAGCGAGTGAATCTAGCAAACGCGATATATTAATTTTAATAAGTACTTTAATATATATACGTACGACTGATTAGTTAGTTTACTCTACCTTCATATACTTCTAACCTAATAACCCATCAAAAACCCAGAAAACCTAGAAAACCCAGCAATAACCCAGCAATAACCCAGCAATAACCTAGAAAACCTAGCAATAGCCTAGAAAACCTAGTAAAAACCTAGTAATAACCCAGAAACCCTAGAAATAACCCAATTCCCACCCTAACTTCTACCTATGATCATCAAAAAATTTCATCCTACCTCACCGGTAGATTGTTGCAATTAGGGTCAACACTACTAAAAAAAGACCTTACGATCAATATAACCTTACTACATACTAGTCTACTATTGACAATTAATAAAAGAATAATATTTGAATACAATATAAATAAACTAAAGCAATAATAAGAGAATTCTATAGTGATTATGTCAAGTCTATGAAGTTACATTGGAGTTGTATATGGTAGATATATATATCTACACTTTATTCAAGCAAACTTTCACTAAACCAAAAAACACCACTTTGTCACCTTAAACTTAGCATTTAAATAGGTAATTTACAACAACGAAGATAAACTATCTTAGATTACAGACTTATTTCTTAATTTTTCAAAGGGATTATACTAGAAAAGCATAGTTGTTCAAAGTATGAACCAGAACCGACGTAAAAAACAGTATGTTATTTTGATGACAGAGCAGTTTTATGATTGAAATTATGCAAAAGTTGGGTCGAGTTGGGCCCAAATTGGGTTTTACTGGGGCCCCAGTATTGGGTCCGGGTTGGGTCCGGGTTAGTGAAGATCAACCCGGACCCAGGCTGGGTTGGGTTCTGGGTCGTAACCTTCGACCCAAATTGGGTTATGCGGAAGTCTATGCGAGTAGTTAGGGTGTTTTGCCAATTGTCGTCTTCTATGGCCCCGATCTCGATAAGTCTAAGACAAATGTCCACAAGATCATCTTGCTCGTACGAACGACCATCACGATCAAGATGTGGTGTCACACTAAGATCAACAGCGTAGGCGTCGATCACTCGTTGACCTTGAGCGGTCGAGTAGAGAGGCAAAGCACGGTCAGAACCTGCCGCACGTCCTTAACGTATTCTTCGTTGATACTGCACAATGTTCGCTCGTATGTTTCATCTAGATCGCGGGGCAATGTACGTAGGCATTTATTAAGCTGATTCCGGTTTCGCGCTCGCCTAAGGGCATTGAACTAACATTCAACGTATCTGAATCTGCACGTGATTTCAGTCAAATCAGCGAAAACTATTTTTCATTGTTAGCACTTACACTCCCTACGCACCTATTGTCAGTTTTGCTTGGATCTCCCTATAACGCGCTTTCCACCTATGGAGATTTAGGTCGTTACTAAGCTGATAAGAGACAAAATCTTCTATGTCTCTCCCAATTGCCGAATTCCTTATCGAAAGATCTTAGTCATAAGAAGGATCTATAGACCCACAGATATTAAGCTCGTCACGGCTCGTTATTAAAAGATGGACACTAGGTAAGGACCAATTGCGTATCACCTATATCGCTCTTAAGACACCCTCCCTATTGCGATCTTAGGGGCTTTCGTCTAGTGCATCGAGTAGAATATAGGCATCGCGGAATCAGCTAAGGAAGCGTTAAAGCAAGTCGAGTAACTCTTCTACTAGAGGAGTACCCGACTTATATAGCTCACGTAGTTACTCTAGATCTTTTTCACCGTCTTATAGCTGTCCTAATAGCTACAATAGCAATGCGCGTAGCATGCTATCATCATCTTACTTTGACTTATCGTTAAAGGAAAAGTAAAAGAACGCGATCCCTACTTCATGCCTCTGCTTCATCATACGGAATGTGTGTTAGATTGTAGTTGAGTAAAGAACCGACTTGCCACATCCTACGAAGCTATTTAGCTATAGGAACGAATTACGTTCTACTAGGTAATTCGTAAATTGATGGCCATTAACGAACCATAGGCCGGTACTTTGATGACGTTTCGCACATATAGCGTTATGGTTAAGAGATACATTAGTTGCCATAAGCCAGGCACGAATCGTGAAAGAGATCTGACTTGCGTTTGTTCGTTCCACAAGCGATTTGACTTCCGATATGTTATCTTCGATCTGGTTGTGGCTTTTGAGCTGTAGGACATCTAGTGCGAACGACAAATGTTGACGTATCTCGCCGACGTCTTCTTCGAGCTTCTTTAATGTATTTTTTCGAAATGGATAGGCGGCGCGACGCCTAGCAAGATGAATACGACCCTTGAAACCGGCGGCTGAGACATTCAAGTCGAGTTCTATGATAATTTCCTAGCACCTTTGAGTGGCTTTGTCGACTTCTTAGAATAGGTCTTGTGCACCGATCTAGGATCGCCGATCCTCTACTGCAACGTCAAGGGATCGAAAGATACCCTGAAGACTATCAAGATGCTACGTAATCTTTGCCAGATAGTTGTCCTAGGCCTTGTATGCTATGTAAAAACTGACTAAAGATTAGGTGACTTGAATACTAAGTGAGAGCAAACTAGCAATCCCCGATGCGATGGAGAGGGGATCAGCCATCGTGATTGAGAGTAGTGGCTTGAGATAGGAAATATAGTGATTCAGATATCGATCAAATATGTGGAATAGCCACAATCTAAGAGCCGAGCTTCAGCCTCATCGAGTGGAGCACAGCTAGTCTGATTGATGTCCAAAGTTGAGCCGCGCATGAACGATGAGGGGCACTTGAGGTGTCGAGTATCAATTGTATGAGTATTCCCAGCAAATTACGGGATTTGCTGCCATGTGACTTCTGCCTTACAAGGTATTTCGATATTTTGAAAAGTAGCTAGATCAAAGATAGACTAGCGTGTTTCAATGTAGGGTTCGGGAAAGAATCAAAGAGAATAGAGTGTGGAAGTGCGGAATAGGCGTATTCACTAGTAAAACTACCAAGTAGTCAGTTCTGACAATGATGAAAAACGATGGTATTCAGTCTATCTATCCTGTCTGTATTTATAGGGGCAGAGAAGCGGAAAAACTCTGCAATGTGGAAATTGCTCTGGACGCCTAGTTTCCAGGATGGGAGATCAGGTGATCAGGATGCGGCAGATGGACCAACTAGTAAAATACTAGTGGAAATTTACCCTGACATTTAGAAACCTATACCCGCCCCCTAGTAATTAGTCGGGCCCTCACCGAGAGCTGGTGAGGGCCCGACTAATTACTAGGGGACGGGTAGTGGATCTCTGCAAGTCATGTGGGGAGGGCCGCCTGGCGCCTTGTACTTGATGATCTGCTGGGTGACTTCGATTATCCCTCTCATCATGTGCGGCATGTGCCGCTCATCTTAAGGGTTGTCTCTTTGGCTCAGAGAACCTCATAACGAATGGTACCATCGGCAAACAACTTTCTCGACCAGTTTTCGGTTGTTTGCAGGCGAACAACAGCCTTAACGGCGGCTGATGACGTACGCCTCATCTAATAGTCACTCGCCATAAGTCTGTCATTACAGTAGGCCAAGAAATATGAGTCCCGGTTCACTCATGAGCCATGACAGTTACGGCGTTCAACAAAGCATAACATTTGATCGGTGGGACGATACATCACAATATGCACCAACACCTGCAAACTTTCGTCGTTCACGTGCCTCCCCATCCGACGTAAGCTGCACTAGCATCGACCCAACACCCCCCATCGATTACACCTCTCTACAACAAACTGCTTCGCAAAAGTATAGTCTTCCATTACTCCAGTTCGGGGATTAGGAGGAAGGTCGGACATATGACGAGGACCCGCCAGACTGTATCCACTACTTAATTGAGTGCAAGGTTACCCTCAGTCTTCAAAACGACGATTCCAATCGGATATCAAGGACAGTTCGTGGAATTTCAGCCGTTGTTGTCACTCGTGTAATGATGGTGCTCTGTGCCTAGATCTTCGACCAGCGCAGAAGCACCGCAGCAACAATGACTGGCAACACGCTCACCAACTCTCCCAGTCCTGCAAACTGTGGAGGAACCCTGGCATTGACAAAAGCCCCCGCAGCGAGAAGGACTGCAAAGGTGTTGTACATGAGGCTCCATGTAAAGTTGAACTTGATGCGGTTCACAGATTTCCGACTGGCGTTCATCATGGTGGGGATGCCAGCCAGAGAAGGCCGCATGAGAACCACATCCGCGGCAGATTGCGCGACATCCGTGCCTTCGTTCATGTGGACGCCGATCGTAGCCTGCGCGAGAGCAATGGCATCGTTCGTGCCGTCACCGCAGAAAACAACAACCGGTTTCTTGCGACCTGTGTCAGTACCGAGGAGCGTCTGTATGTACTCCTTCTTGTCGGCGGGCGAGCTTCGAGAACGCACATTGCCGCTAGGAATGCTAAGCTTGGACGCCAAATTCTGAACAACTCCGTCATCGTCGCCAGAAACCACATGTACCGAGACGCCACGCTTCTGCAAGGTCTCAATCGTCCCCGCAGTGTCAAGTCGAAGCTCATCTACAAGACCATAGACCGCCTGCAATGCATTGTCGATAGTAAAGCAGAAGACAGTGTACCCTTGAGCAAGCATTGGTTGAACAATTTCATGTTCCGATAAATTCAGCCAGCGAGAATTGCCTGCTCGAAGTCTCCGGCCACCCAAGGTGGTTTCAACACCTTTACCAGTAAGGCTCGTGGGCTCAGGAACAGTCGAAGCTATAACTCCAGTATCCTTGAGGTGAGTAGTCACAGAAACCGAGACTGGGTGTCGACTGTTTTCGATGAGGCCGAGAAGAGGCGGGAGCTTGTCCTCATCGACGCAGTTCTTCGCGACGACAGAAAGCTTTCCCCGAGTCAAGGTCCCAGTCTTGTCAAACACGACGTGTGACGTCTTATGAGCCAATTCAATAGCATCTGCTGACTTGAAGATAATACCTCTTTCCGCTGCGACTCCGCTGGCAATCACAATGACCATAGGAACAGCCAGTCCAATGGCGCAGGGGCAAGAGACAATGAGGACAGTAATGGCGTAGGTGATGGCCTGAATTGTAGCCTCGGATCCATCATATCCACGAATAGTCATCCCCACTGCGACCCATATGACAAATGTGATGATCGTCAATGCCACAACAACCGGTACGAAATAGGATGCGACCCGGTCCGCTAGATCTTGCATCCTGGGTTTCGATAGTTTGGCCTCATCGACCATCGCAGCAATAGCATTGATAGTGTTATCGCTAGCTAAACGGTTCAGTTGAACAGTCATAACTCCAGATCCATTGATAGACCCAGCAATCACCACAGACTTGGGATATTTCTCCACCGGTCTAGATTCACCAGTGAGCATAGACTCGTCAACCTCAGACGACCCATTGATGACAGTGCCGTCGGTCGGGATTTTGGTGTCAGGGAGAACTTTGAAGGTGTCGCCGTATTGAAGAAGTCGAGCGTCAATCTCACGTTCCGCTCCGCTCTCTTGGTCGACAAGGATAGCTGTCGATGCCTGAAGTGACCGGATAGAAACGGATTCAACAGCTCTCTGACGAGCGAGAGCGGCAACCCATCGACCAACCATGATCAAAGTGACCAAGAGAGTGCTCGTTTCAAAGAATTGACCGGTCGAAAGGGGTTTCTCTACAATGAGGTACCCAAAGGAGATCACCGAGAAGATGTATGCAGCACTAGTGCTCAAGACGATCAAGAGGTCCATCTCGATAACCCTCGAGAAAACGAGAGCCTTCAGGGCCTTGGGATAGAAAGGTCCTGCTATGACAACTTGAATAATCGTGGCCAACGTGAGTGAAGCAGAGGAATATGCCACCTCCCTCTCAGGAAGCGGAGCCCATGCCATGACCAGGACCGGAATCGTCAAGACTGCGGAGAGAAGCGTCATGTATCCGACATGACGAACATGCTTGCTGCCAGCCTCCAGCGAAGGGTCACCGCGTGGAGGAGCAAGTTCAATTGGTGGACCCCAAAGCTTCTCGGTGAGGTATCGAGCTCCCACGATCTTCGGATCAAACGCAACTCGCACGATCTGCTTGTTAACGGGTGCCAGGTCGATAACTCCGTCTGGCCACGTCTGACTAATGAATTTCGAGGGCTCATCGGGGACGATAAGATCTATGATAGATCCTTGGTTCTGCACTTTTTCGCACTTAAATTCAGTCGTTCGTTCCAGATGTTTCATGACTTCCTCCACTGAGCCAAGGCGAAGATCAATGTTGAACTCGGCTCGTGAGAGAACCAGACTGGTTTTCAGGTCTTTGACGGCTGGGACAGTAACGAGAGTTCGGTTGAGCTTTGTCTCGCAACCAGTACAAGTCATGCCAGAAATGCTGAGGACAACATGTTCCTTGCCGGTATCCTGATTCTCTATGTCGGCGATGGCCTGAATCGGGGCTTTCTCAATCTCCAAACCAGAATCGGGCGCAGCAGGGGAGCAGCAAGCATCGGTGCAAGAGCCTTTAGGGCTGACCGACTGCTTTTCTGTGCAGCAAGAGTCCGCGCAACTAATTTTTGGAGTCTTCACGATATCCTGCTTCGGTGGCCTGCAGCAAGAGCCAGAGGAGGCGGCATTTGGGGGCTCTTTGGTGATCGTTTTCTTAGCTGTTCTGAAACAAGGCCCTGCACACCCACTAGTTGGAGGTTCAAAAACGGGCTTGACCTTCGAACAGTACGAGTCCGCATAGGTGCTCCTGATGTCATTGTCCTTGACATGCTGGTCTCCGGAACAGCAAGGTCCGGAGCAGCCGACCTTAGGAGGGGATTCTTCGATACGGGGAGTCTCCGAGCAGCGAGAATCAAAGCGTCCAGTTTGGGCAGCAGGCTGCTTCGCGGCCTTTTCGAGGGAGTAGCAAGAGTCGGCACAGATGCTTTTTGGAGGAGTTCCCTTGACGGGTTTGCCTTCAGAGCAGCACGGCTTCGAGCACTTGCTTTTGGCGGGAGGCTCTTTGGCGAACTTGTCCTTCGAACAAAAAGAGACAACCCAGGCATCCGCGGACGGCTTCTTGACAGACCTGGCGCTTTCACCAGAGCCCCTTCCCAGGCGAAGACGGTTCTGCGCGGCCTGCTCCTTGGTAACGGAGCTGCTGCTGCTGCAGGAATCCAGTGAAGTGCGAAGAAGGGAGCGAGCAGATGATTTCTTAGAGCACTGCTTCCCGTCCAGTGAATGGCGCTCGCGGATTTCACAGCAGGTTTCCTGGCCAAGAGCGATGAGAGCGCGGCAGATACATCCCAGAGCTTGTAGAGTAGCGCCGTAGCGGTCGAGGGCAGAGAGACTATGCTGGCTGCATGCCTTGCGGTCGGTAGATCCACCACAAGCTGAGGGGAGTTAGCAATCTTTTGAATGCCATTCCCAAAGAGCGGCTACTCACTGGCTGGCCCACCGTTTGGGTCGGGGGCAGCCGCAGCACTCATCTCGCATTCCCGCATAGCCAAGCGTTCAAGGCAAGACGTGTCACAGCACGGGCCGACTTTGCCACGGCAGCAGTCAGGCGCGTCGGTATCATTCTCAGTTTTCTTGTCCGCGCATTTGCCAGGAAAGCAGCAACCGTCCGGTTTCTCCTGAATGGGCTCTCCCAGACCCGGGGTCGTGGTGTCGAGGGGATCAGCGTCGCCATCATCGCAGCAAGAATCCTGGCAACTGCTCATCTCCTCAGTTGGAGCCGTGATTGGCGTAGCATCAGGCTCAGGGGCTGGAGCCAGTGGGCCGCAACAGTCGCATCCCATTGTTGAAGTGATATTTTGCTAATTTGTGTGAGTTTGAGCTAGTGTTGAAGTCGAGTTTTTAGAAACCGAGTCAGCCTGTCGGTTTCGGGTTAGTTGCACTGCAGCACGTGAATGGGTCGACTGCCCCTGGCCAATCGCATTCACAACGGCTACCCAGTGTTGGTGATTGACGATGCCAGCCTCCTTCAACTGTTTGTCTTTGGGCCATGGGCCTAATCGGCCACCTGTAAATATTTTCATGCGCATTGACAAACCGAGTTTTTCGGATGCTGCTAGAAGTGGTATCGACGGTGATACCGGCTTGCGCTCCAGTGTATGATGTTCCCTGAGTCGAAGAGAACCGTCTGAGGAGTGATGACCGGCAAAGGGCTTACATACCGTGCAGGCTGAAAAGGAAAGTTGTAGCCACCTAGCAGGTTGTCCATAAACTGATTTGCAGGGATCCACTATAGGTTTCGATGGTATTCTACTGAAGGGAGTGTCCCTATCAATTCCCTGAATTCTTATCTTGTATGCATTGTAAGCTTACGTAGCAAAGTATTGTACCATACGAGGTGATTCTTACAGTGTCCCTCAATTAAATGCAGCCTGCTGAATGATTGGTCTGCGCTAGGGCCTTGGCGGTGGGTCTCGAACATAGACTTCGTGTGTGTATTGGTCAAGCCGATTTCGAGAATGGCTGTATCAGCCGATACCTATAGATTTATTCATATCTAGACAGGAGTGCCGTCAGTTCTTTCGCAGGGCATTCATTATCGTAGAGTATTGACATGTCTGAACCCCATAGTTCTTCGCTGAAGGACATAGTAGTGATAATGCCCCAAGCCGAGTCTAGCAGCTCCGAGTATTGTCCTAATCTCTGTGAAAAAAGCAATACAATGTGGATGGATGGGTGGATGGGTCATTTATCCTAAGCCCTCACCGAAGTGATATGCAGGCTACAACAACTAAATAGATCTCTATGCGTCCTTGTGTCGTGTACCATTTCCTAAACGAACTTAATGCCTCGCCGACGCCTGTCGTGTCCCAGTACACGTTGTTGCTGTCATGCTGCCCTCACCCCTTATAGTGGGAGTCGAAAACAGACTCCCCCCATTGATTAACGCACTTTTGTTTCTCGGTTCGTATTCGAAACTACACTAATCTAGAAACGGCGAATGCGCAATGATCAATAACGAATCAAAGGGTTGTGATGTAGCAGACGATGCCCAGAGAGCATATCACCGGCATGCAATGCCTGATTCCCCGTCTGGCAGACCCTGGGAACTAAGCTCATGGAACAGATGTCTCTTAAGTCAAGCAACCTTCATTTGAGGTCTTTGTGGTCCTGAGTCCTGAGTTTCGCGACGTGGCTAGACCTCCGGTGCCTTGCATATTGTTCAGCTGAGGAGCTAGCAGAACAGGAACGCGAGGCGCTTGTATGCGCAATGGTACAGAGTACTCCATTTAAGGTTCAATATGAGGTCCCGGAGGCCTCAGAGGTATTCACTGAACTTTGACTGTCTAGTCTCCCGCATATAATAATAGGTGATGAGAAGAATGAATCACACCCTATACGCATTAAGTCCAGCCGCTCCTAAGCCCATGTACAACACCGCGCCGCCACCAAAGACACCCACCGCCTGAGACGTCAACATTCCGTGGCCTGCCACAGTCGCAAAAACGCTAACGGCATCTACCAGGTCGACCACGACGCCTCCCGAAAGTACCCTCCTGACGCTACGTCTCGTTTCCCCTAGAGCAGACACAGATAAGCTCTTGGACTCGTCTCTCATAGTAACCCATAGTGCAGCCGCGAGTAAGGCGTCACGAATTCCGAAAAGCCGCATCACAAGTGTGGATGCCGTGTCAAGGGGCGTGGGTAGGCCGGAGACGCGACTCAGCAAGGTGGGAGCCAAGACCGCGCTGAGCCCGACTCCAGTGCGGAGGGCGGCCATAGTGACGGCACAAGCCTTGCCGAGGGTGGGCGCTAACATATTATTGTCCGATGGCTGAGGCGTATTGAGAAGTTGGTCCGCTTCTTCAACAACAGTTAGATGCACATCTTTAGTGGGGTCGAATGCGGGGTAAAACTAACCTGATGATCCTGGCCAAATAGCTCGGTCTTAGAGCTCAAAGAATCGTTGATTTTGATATCTTCGTTTTGGCTTCTTGTACTTGGTGCTAGACCTACATAAAGACGTAATAGCCAAGTAATTTCTGAACTTAATCAGCACACGGACTGCATCTTGGTTTCAGGGCGCGGTTGGAGTAGAATAACATTTCGCCCAATCTACGTTAACTGGGTGTGAAAAGTGCATTCGCAGGCGCGTCCCTAAAAGAACTAATTGTCCCCTAAAGTCAGATCCTCACAACCACGCAGACTCAGTTTCAGAAGTTTTCAGAAGTGGGGGTAGCATCGTTGAACGGTTTTCTTTTTCCGGCATCATTCTGATCCATTCATTTTCTTAACTAGAGCCGAGGACGTCACTTCACTTTCTAATATATAGTCTAGTCGGGAAAAACAAACTACGCCCAACAGACGAATGATGCAGTAAACAATCTTGTTACTGGGGCTATTGATTCCCGTCCTACTGACGTCCATGTTTCTGGGGTTGTCATCTTCCTTGATTTAACCGAAGACACTGGCGAAACACGTCGCAGACGTAAAAGGACTCAACCAGAATATTAAAGATGCAAATGGTCGTACGGTTATTGAGTACGCGCAAATATTGAAACAGTGGGAAGTCGTCGAAGTGTTAGAGAAGGGAAACTAGCTCATCTCTTCTGTACTCACGTTACGTACTTTCGTGTATCTTTCTTCCGGCTTTTGATGTTCTCGTCTATCATTGTCTTCCCATGTGGCGCCAGCCTGCACGGTGAAATTCTGCCGCTTCTACCTAGAAAACAAGAGGCGACTTCCGTCAAAACGGATGGCATAGTCTTCATAAGTCCACCAAAATGTTATTCTCGTATTGAAGCCCGTTTGAATCAGGTGAATGTCAATTATTTTACAATGAAGTTGTTAAACATCGCATTTACGTGTTGATATGGTACCTCTAATCAATCGATATTAACGCAACCAAGAAAATCGCGACAGAATAAGATATTTCGTCCCAACAAATGTCTTTGATTCTGAGTGAAACTGATGTGTGAAGCCGGTGTGGATCTTATCTCCCTGTAGTTTCCTTGATAATGCGCTGAGTCGATAGACCCAGCTGTGCAGATTCGTGATGTAGAGTCTGCGTGTGCACCGTTCATCTGCCTGCGTTGCCAACATCAATCCTCTTTCGGCCTCGGCGAGAATTACCAAGAAACTCATGAGCTATATAGTATCCACGAACTAAGAACCATCACTTTTGAACTTCACTCAGTAGGCATCGAAAGCAACACCACGATGACTCTGTAGACTAGGGCACCAATTACCGAGCTAGAGACATCGCCCGGCACATTTCGCGCGACGCGCAGGACACCTTAAAGGGAGGTTTCTCGGCTGCACAGCCAATATCGAAGTGTCCTACGATGCTACGTATTGGAACAGAGATATCTTCTGGCAAACCCGGCGTCGAAGCCAGAAAGCCAGCGCTGCCATTCGTGTGGGGAACCAGGCTATCGGAATTGATGCTGAAGAGTGCAAGAGGGGAATCACGTTAAGGGAGAATCGCAAGAAAGCTGAGGAAAGGATACATGAGTGAACGTGTGAGTCTTTTAGACGAGGGCAAGGTAATGGGTAGAGTAATAGAGTAGCGAGTAATGAGTAATGCGTACGGCCAAGTGACAGACCAGGAATCTGCGGTAAGGAGCAAACGCATCAAAGAATCAAATCACGTCGACTTTTTGGGGCAGCACTGGCCTCCACGGGCGCAGTTGTCGTCGCATTCCAGGAGACAGCCCTGGGGAGCGCCTTCCCTTACGCTGGCTGTGCGGCTAGGCATATCAGGGACTTCAGTGGTGGATCGAGACGATGAAGGCTGGGTCTGGTTCTGGTTATCTTCAGCGTCGCTATCAGGGGCGAATTCTGGCTGGATAGTGGAAGAATGGATGCCATAGGCGTGAAGACACCGGCGAATCTGTCGCGCGAGGCGCATGTATCTCTCAGACACCTCACCCTTGATTTCGGTATCAACCTGGATATGGATCGAGGCGACAATCTTGGTGTCACTCAACTGCCAGACGTGCAGGTGGTGAGAGCCAATAACACCTGGAAGGCCCTCGATATCCTCCTTGATATGATCGATGCTTAGGCCAGCGGGGACAGCTTGCAGCAGAATGCGAGAGGCGGCCTTGCACAGGGGAATAGCAGATACAAGAATGATGACTGTGATCACAAGAGAGATGCCAGGATCCACATAGTTGCGCCAATCGTAGTCAGTCAACCAGATGATCAGGGCAGAAGCAATGACGCCGATATTACCAAGCGCATCTCCCATAACGTGGAGGAAGACGCCACGCATGTTCAGGTCATGGCCATGGCCATGGCCGCCCTTCTGACTCTTAGGCTTGGGCTTAGCATGGTTGTGGCCCTTGTGGACATCATCCTCGACCCAGTGGTTGGGAACTTTGAACAGGCCACCATTCTCATCGGTGTAGTTAGAGGCACCATCGCGGTGGCTCAAAAGACCAGATCGCTCGTTTAGGCTTTCGTCGTCTTGGTCATCAGAATCCGAGGACTCTTCATTGTCGAACTGACCGTGACTAGCGGCAATGATATCCTGCCGCAGAGTCGCAGGGTGCACGTAGATGTCGTCCACGTTGGTGGGTCCACCTCCAGCCGAAGTACTGTATCGCGGAGAGAAGCGGCTTTGAGTACCACGGCGATTGCGTGATGGAGAGGACGGCTCGATGTCCCGTATCCCAGTTCCATGAACATTCGGGGGCACAGGGGCTTCGCGCTCGTCCGCTGTGTGGTGGTGGTCACTGTATCCCCGCTCCGCTGCATCCACGTCCTCCTCCTCGTGTCCGTGACCATGGTCTTGGCCATGGCCATGGCCACCGTGGGAATGATCGTGGAATAATGCCAA